ATGGTACATCTACACAATGGAATACTACTCAGCAATAAATAACAAGGAAATCATGAAATTTGCAGGTAAATGGTAGGAACTGGAAAAGATCATCCTGAGTGAGCTATCCCAGAAGCAGAAAGACACACATGGTATATATTCACTCATGTAGACATATAATATAGGATAAACCTACTAAAATCTGTACACCTAAAGAAACTAATCAATAGGGAGGACTCTGGCTAAAATGCTCAATCCCCATCCAGAAAGGCAAAGAGGATGGACATCAGAAGAAGGAGAAAACAAGGAACAAGTTAGGAGCCTGCTACAGAGGGCCTCTGAAAGGCTCTGCCCTGCAGACTATCTAAGCAGATGCTGAGACTTATGGCCAACCTTTGAAGAGACTGCAGGGAATCTTATGAAAGACGTGGGAGTTAGTAAGACCTGGAGAGGAGCTCCACAAGGAGAGCAACAGATCCAAAAAATCTGGGCACATGGGTCTTCCCTGAGACTGATAGTCCAACCAAATAGCATGCATGGAGATAACCCAGAACCCCTGCACAGATGTAGCCCAAAACAGTTCAGTCTCCTAGTGGGTTCCATAGTAATGGGAACAGGGACTGTCTCTGACATGAACTGATTGGCCTGCTCTTTGATCACTTCCCCCTGAGGGGGGAGCAGCCTTACCAGGCCACAGAAGAAGACAATGCAGCCACTCCTGATGAGACCTAACAGACTAGGATCAGAAGGAAGGAAAAGAAGTCCTATCAGTGGACTTGGGGAGGGGCACGGGTGGAGAAGGAAGGGAGGGATTAGGACGGAAGGAGGGAGGGAACAACAGGGGGGATACAAAGTAAATAAAGTGTAATTAATTTAAAAAAGATTACTACAACAGTGCAAACAAGATATAATGAAAAGCTTATCTGTGGATTAGTAACAGTGGGAAGAAGGAAATTAAAGAGGGTATGCAGAGCTTGTCAGTGCTGTAGAGAGTACAGCCAAGGGAGCTTTAGAACCCTGAGAAAAGAATAAAGTGAACAACAAGCAGAAGTTAGAGAGAGGCATTTTCAAGTTTGAAAAAGGAGACTGGGGTTGTTTTGTGAACATAATCACTTAAAATAGAGGTGTCTATAAGCAATTGGCATGTCCAGCATAAAGTAGGAAGGAAAGAAAGGAAAGGAAAAAGGGAAAGGAAGGGAAAGGGAAAGAAGGGGAAGGGAAGGGAAAGCAAAGCAGTAGAGCAATGGTTCTTGACCTAATACTACAAGCCCTTAACAGAGTTCTTATGTTGTGGTGACCCCCAACCATGACCCACAGTTTGAGAACTACTGCACTAGAGAAGCCAGAATTGTTAAAACAGGAAGGCTTTTTCTTCATGGGAAGGAAGTACTACTGTTCACCCCGAAATCTGGAGTGGATGCTAACAACATGGTGATCTTTTGCTAGTCTATGGAACCAGCCTTCACCTGAATCCCCCAAAATCCTGACCATTGTCTAGACCCTGATCCTGAGCTTTGTCTCTCAGGAAACAGGACTGACCCTTATGAAAGAGGTCCCATGTACTTTGCATTCTCAGTCAACAGAACCTATCTTTACACTTAATACAAATCCTTCCTCCCTAGCCCTTATCCTGAGCTCTGTTTATCTTTTAACAGAACTCCTTCTTATGGCAAAGGGCACAGGTGCTTTGCTAAAGAGATGTGCTTTGCAAAAGCGTTTTGATGTAGGGACAACACATGCTGGAGAGGTTGTAGAGAAAGGGGAACCCTCCTCCACTGCTGGTGGGAATGTAAACTTGTACAACCACTCTGGAAATCAATCTGGTGCTTTCTCAGACAATTAGAAATAGTGCTTCCTCAAGACCCAGCTATACCACTGCTAGGCATATACCCAAAATTTGCTCAAGGACACAACAAGGACATTTGTTCAACCATGTTTGTAGCAGCTTTATTTTTAATAGCCAGAACTTGGAAACAACCCAGATGTCCATCAACGGAGGAATGGATACAGAAATTGTGGCAATCAAAAAGGAAGAAATCATGAAATTTGCAGGCAAATTTCTTTTCTAGGGGTCTAGAAAAGATCATTCTGAGTGAAGTATCCCAGAAGGGGAAAGACAAACACGGTATATACTCGCTTATATAGACCTATAAGATATGATAAACATAATGAAATCTATACACCTAAAAAAGATAATCAAGAAAGCAGACACGGGGTAAGATGATCAATCCTCATTTAAAAAGACAAATGGGATGTGCATTGAACATATGACAGGAGTCTACCGTAGAAGGCATCTGAAAGACTCTACCTAGCAGTGTTTCAAAGCAGATACTAAGACTCAGAACCAAACCTTCAGCAGAGTACAAGGAATCATATGAAAGAAGGGGAGTTAGTATAATGTGGAAAGGATAGGAGCTCCACAAGGACCAAATACATCCGGGCACAGGGTCTTTTCTGAGACTGACACTCCACCAAGGACCATGTATGGATATAACCTAGAACCTCTGCTCAGATATAGCCCGTGGTAGCTCAGTAACCAATTGGTTTCCCATAGTAAGGGGAACAAGGACTATTTCTAACAGGAACTCAATGGCTGGTTCTTTGACGTCCCCACCCCCCAAGGGAGGAGCAGTCCTGTTAGGCCACAGAGGAGGATTTTGCAGCTAGTCCTGAAGATACCTGATAAAACAGGGTCAGATGAAAGGGGAGGAGGTCCTCCCCTATCAGTGGACTTGGAAAGGGGCAGGGAGGAGATGAGGGAGGGAGGGTGGAATTGGGAGGGAATAAGGGAGCAGGATACAACTGGGATACAGAGTTAACAAAATATAACTAATAAGAAAAAAAAAATTAAAAAAAAGAGTTATAATGTAGCCCAGCCTAAAGCTTTCTTGTAATAACTGACACAGAAACTTTTTTCTAAAGTTTTATTGTGTTTAAATGTATATGAAAAATATAGCACTTGGTCAGACTACAGAAGTTTTTGACCCTGTACTGGCTAAGTCGTGCTGACCCAGTGTTCATTCTTACCCTCACCTGGATTGGTTCCCAGCAGGTCTACTGGTTGTCCATGATGTCTTCAGGGACCACCACATAACAGACTTTTTTAAAGTTTAAGAAGATAAAAATAGAGCCCAGTGAATTACAAATTGAAGGGGGTGGGGTAGTAAGAAACTGAAAAAGAAAACATGCATTATACTTTGAAAGCTGATTAAATAACTTAATAGTAAAATACTGGAGTCAAGAGAGCTAGTGAATATTATGGGCACAAGAAGAAGAGTGACATAAGTAAAGACAACATACTCACAAGAAAAGATGGCAAAAATACATTAAACTTTTAAAACACAGAATACAAAACTTTCACAGATCAAATGTAAAATATAAAGAACAGAGTCAAAGAGATGTTTCAGCAGGTAAAGCCAGTTGCTTCCAAGCCCAACCACTCCAGCTAACACACACAAAATAAATGTAATAAATAATTTTAAATATGTAAAACAAAAAGTTAAGAGTACTATAAGATATGAAAACTGAATAACAATGATCTTTACAAATGTCACATTAATTAACTTATAAGCAGTGTGACCTGACTCCAGAACACCAAAGTGCTGATGCTCAATGATAATCAAAGATGGCTCAGATGTTAAGAACACTGGCTCTTCTTCCAAAGGTCCTGAGTTCAATCCTGAGTTATGAGCCATCACAACCATCTATAATGAGATCTGGTGCCCTCTTCTGGTGTGCACAGGAATATGCTATATACATAATAAATAAATAACTCTTAAAAAAAAAAAAAAAAGGACAGTATATACTGTTTCTTGCTGCTCTGGGGCAGCTCACTCAGGATGATCCTTTCCAGTTCCCACCATTTACCTGCAAATTTCATGATTTCCTTGTTTTTCATTGCTGAGTAATACTCCATTGTGTAAATGTACCACAATTTCTGTATCCATTCTTCAGTTGAGGGGCATCTGGGTTGTTTCCAGCTTCTGGCTATTACAAATAAAGCTGCTACATGGTTGAGCAAATGTCCTTGTGTACTTGAGCCTCTTTTGGATATATGCTTAGGAGTGGTGTGGCTGGATATTGAGGAAGCACTATTCCTAGTTGTCTGAGAAAGTGCCAGATTGATTTTCAGAGTGGTTGTACAAGTTTACATTCCCACCAGCAGTGGAGGACACACACGGTATATACTCACTCATATAGACATATAATATGTCTATATATAATATGTCTATGTTTAGTAGGATAAACCTACTAAAATCTGTACATCTAAAGAAACTAATCAAGAGGGAGGACTCTGACTAAAATGCTCAATCCCCATCCTGAAAGGCAAAGAGGATGGACATCAGAAGAAGAAAACAGAAAACAAGTTAGGAACCTGACACAGAGGGCCTCTGAAAGGCTCTGCCCTGCAGACTATCAAAGCAGATGCTGAGACTTATGGCCAACTGTTGGGCAGAGTGCATGGAATCTTATGAAAGAAGTGGGAAATAGTAAGATCTGGAGAGGACAGGAGCGCCACAAAGAGAGCAACAGAACCAGAAAATTTAAACACAGGGGTCTTTCCAGAGACTCATACTCCAACCAAATACCATGCATGGAGATAACCCAGAACTCCTGCACAGATGTAGCCCATGACAGTTCAGTCTCCTAGTGGGTTCTATAGTAATGGGAACAGGGACTGCCTCTGACATGAACTGATTGGCCTGCTCTTTGATCACCTCCCCCTGAGGGGGAAGCAGCCTTGCCAGGCCACAGAAGATGACAATGCAACCACTCCAGATGAGATCTGATAGACTAGGATCAGAAGGAAGGAGAGGGAGACCTCCCCTATCAGTGGACTTGGGGAGGGGCATAGGTGAAGAAGGGGGAGGAAAGGTGGGATTAGGAGGGGAAGAGGGAGGGGTTTATGGGGGGATACAAAGTGAATAAAGTGTAATTAATAAAAGTTAAAAACAAAAACAAAAAAAAAAAGAAGAGAAAATTTAAAAAGAAAGGGGGGAAAAAGAATTGCATATCCTTACCTAGCACCACAGCATGAGTTTCCACATCCTGTCACTTACAGGTCCTGTCAGCATGTAAACATCAGTCACTGTGACCATCACAGTTGAACATCCAGCAATTCCTAGAGTAGCCAAAAGAGCCGTCAACCAGGATGAAGTCAGAAGATTACAGCCAGACCACAGAGACACAAATCAGCTGTAGGCAGAATCTGAAAGCAGGACACAGCAGGAGGAACTTGGGAAACAGTGAACTCTGCTACACACCTCTGGGATGACAGATACATGGTTTTTTACATTGACCTAAGTTTATAAATTTAAAAGTAAACTATAACCTTAAATTTTTGTGAGTTGTTAACCATTTGGAGACATTCCTTTTCTCAAACAGCCATTGTGTGTGACGCTGGGGCCCAGACCATTAGTGGCCAGAGCCCCTGAAGGCCAGGTAGGCACTAGGCACTGGTCCTCAAGGGCTACAGCCTTACTGTCTTTAGAGAATACTGTGAGACCCAGAGCCACGGATATGGGACACATCCAAGCTCACACACCCAGAGGGACATGGTGTGTCGCTCCCCAACAGTGACAAATGGTCCCTGACTGCACCAGAGTTAAAGGGACTCAGCAGGTTAGAGTCAGTGGTTTTTTAGGCCCCTAAACAGAAGAGTTCCCATGTTCGAACAGTCAGTGTTACCTTGCTAGCATGTGCTGGCTGTATCAGTCCTGCATGTCCCCTCATTAGGCAAACTGGAGCACGTGTGCAGCAGGGCACATGAAGAGAATTTTTATGTAGCCAATGACTCACCATGAGCGAAACAAAAACCATCAGAAAGAACAGGGATTGGGGATGCATAAACTACATGTAGCAGAATGCTCAGCAGTAAGAAACTCAGCACAGCTACAGGACTGCAAAAGACTGGAGAGGTGGATCAGCAACTACGAGTACTGGCGAGTCTGCTAGAGGACCTGGGTTCAATTCCTAGAGCCTGTATGACAGATCCAACTGCTTGTAACTCCATCCTAGGGACTCCAACAGACACCAAGCACACATGTGGTACCCAGACACATATGCAGTCAAAGCACCCATACACAAAAAATAAATAAACAAAGGCACTGTAAACAATCAACAAGCAGAATTAAGGGGAAACTGCCTGGAAGGGTATACACTGTGAGTCTATTCACACAAACTTATTAATAAACAAAACCAAAACTATTAGATACAAAAGCAAACTATATAGGAACACCACAAATGTGCAAGAAAACAATTACCAGGGTGTAAAAGAGAAGAATGGGTGGGAAGAAGTTCCAGGGCAATTGAAAGGCCCTTTACTTAGTAGTTATTTGTAACTCAGCCTTAAACATTTCATGCACTTTCTCTACTTGATACATTGTAATAAAAGATTTTAAAAAGAGATAATTAAAAAATGTCTCAGTGCCAACTGGGAGTGACTGGGTTTAGAGATGAACTATGACAGTACAAATGTTACCACAGGAGTCAGGCAGAGCTGTGATTGGAGAACCAGCCAGCAGGAGTGCTATTTATTCAGAGTTCCCAGCACAGGACAGAGCATTCTGGGTAGAGGTGAAAGGCCAGAGCCAGAAAGACACAAGCTTCCCCAGAAAGCTTCCCAAGGAAAATGGGCACCAGGAGCCAAGTAAGTAAATAACCTATATGTGCATTTAGCTGCTGCTTCTGTTGTGTCTGCACATTTGCTGAAGATGCTACCTTCCAGGTTACACTGGAGGCGTGATGACTGAAGTTAACAGAAGTGATAGGAGCAGTCTATAAACTAGGAATCTGCTCTAAGGAAAAACAACTCTGGAGTGTCTTTTTTTTCCACAAAATCATCTTATTCTCTCTCTCTCTCTCTCTCTCTCTCTCTCTCTCTCTCTCTCTTTCTATCTCTGTCTTCCCCTCCCTGTTTCCCTCACCACCATTCTCCCACTTCCCTCTCTCCTTCCTCTCTCTCTTTCAGGTTATTACCTGCAAGGCAGCTGTTGCCTGGGAAACCGGCAGTCCCCTTTGCATTGAGGAAATTCAAGTGTCTCCTCCAAGGGCTCATGAAGTTCGAATTCAGGTGAGTAGGGACTTTAGCTGAGCAATACAGACATGGCCCTGAATGTTGACTTTCCCCTATGGACAGCTATATGTTTAGATCCAAATTTTAAAGGAGGCATTACCATGCTTTTTTACAGTAGGCATCAAATGTAATGCAACTATCTTAACATAGATACCAACCCTAAGAATCATCCAAGTAACTTACTTTGAATTAGAATTAGTTAGGTTTTTCTTTTTGTTTTCTAACTACTAATTATGGGGAGGTGTTTTTAAAAAGAAGAGAGAAATAGCCCAAAGCAAAAGTGGATGAAAACTTGGAGAGCTATTGTGGGCCACTGTGGGGGCAAGAGGAAGGATTAGAGATGGGAGAAGTGAGGCAGAACCATTAAGAGAAAGTCCAGTTACCCAGGTTTCCCCTGGGCCAACCTATCACAAGTTTGTGTGAGGATGCATGAAGAAGCCTCACGGACAAATTTGAAGAATCATGCCAGAAGGTGAAAAGTCGTTTAGTTTCTTTTAACTACAGGTTTATTACCTTCACTTCATTTCCTGCAGTCTCCACACACAGAACAAGCCACGTAGATCTATGTTCTTATCGCTGCTTGGTGTCTATTCTCGTTCCTTTTTTCTTTGATTTCTCCTCTTCTAGAGATATTGATTTTGATATCTCCTGTTGATTTTTTTCTAGAAACAATGAAAATTAAACTGGATTCTAGGAAGACTAGAATACAGTCTAAAGTATTTTGTATGTGCCTTTTTTTCCCCTCAAAATATAATTCTTTTACTGAAGTCTAGTATTGCTATAGTGATTCAGGATAACACTAGACATAAGAATACCCTGCGAAAGCACAACCCAAGTCTTTCTTGCTTCGTAGGTAATCACCACATGTGTGTGCCCTACTGACATCAGTGCTACCAATCCTAAGAAGAAAGCTCTCTTCCCAGTAGTCCTTGGCCATGAATGTGCAGGAATTGTAGAAAGTGTTGGACCAGGAGTGACCAACTTCAAACCAGGTATTCCACCTTCTGATTTCAATGAAACAGACAGTCCCAGACCTTTCCGTGATAGCTCCTGACAACTTGCCTTTGCTTTTTGTACTATGACTGAGCTTTGTTTACAGAGTTCATCTTTCCCAAAGGGACACTGACTCAAATGATCTGACATGGTATAACAAGGAAATAGAATATTTGAAACTAGAACAGTCTAATAAAATCCTGAAAATACAGCCACTTTATTTACATAAACAGGGAAGTTGTCTTATAAAACAAAGCTACAGGGTTAGTGTAAACTGAAGCTTCCGTAATTCACAAACACTTTCTCCATATGAAATGGAAATTTATTTTATGGTTATGTAAAGAATGAAGGCTTGCAGGGGACTTCAGGGAAGAGCATCACACATGTCAATGTTAGTTTAAGTGTCATTTTGTTAAGTTCATAAGATAAAACCTAATACCCTGCAGCAAGCAAATGGCTCATTATATTTTATAATGTGTGCAGTGTATACTGGTGTGCAAGCCATGTAAGATCTGATGGGCCATATCAACCGTGCAACCAAACTTGGAGGTATGTTAGTATTTTCCATTCCAAGTTTGAGCACAGAAACAGATTGCTCCCTCAAACCCTGAATTCTTTTCTTTTTAATTTTTTTATTTATTACAATTTATTCACTTTGTATCCCAGCTGTAGCCCCATCACTCATCCCCTCCCAATCCTGCCTTCCCTCCCTCATCACCTTCCATGCCCCTTCCTCAATCCACTGATAGGGAAGTCCTCTTGCCCTTCCATCTGACCCTAGCCTATCAGGTCTCCTCAGGACTGGCTGCATTGTCTTCCTCTGTAGCCTGGTAAGGCTGCACCCCCTTCAGGGGGAGGTGATCAAAGAGCCAGCCACTGAGTTCATGTCAGAGACAGTACCTTTTCCTCTTACTAGGGAACCCACTTGGACACTGAGCTGCCATGGGCTACATCTGTGCAGGGGTTCTAGGTTATCCCCATGCATGGTCCTTGGTTGGAGTATCAGACTCAGAAAAGACCCCTGGGCCCAGATTTTTTGGTTCTGTTGCTCTCCTTGTGGAGCTCCAGTCCCCTCCTATTCTTTCATAAGATTCCATGCACATTGCAGGTGGGAATGTAAATTTGTACAACCACTTTTGAAATCAATCTGGTGCTTTCTCAAACAATTAGGAATAGTGCTACCTCAAGATTCAGCTATACCACTCCTAGGTATACAACTAAAATATGCTCAAGTACACAACAAGAACATTTGCTCAACCATGTTCATAACAGATTTATTTGTAATAGCCAGAATCTGGAAACAACCCAGATGTCCCTAAATTGAGGAATGGATACAGAAATTATGGTACATTTACACAATGGAAGACTACTCAGCAATTAAAAACAAGGAAATTATGAAATTTGCAGGCAAATAGTGGGAACTAGAAAAGATCATCCTGAGTGAGCTATCCCCAAAGCAGAAAGACACACATGGTATATACTCACTTATAAGTGTATATTAGACATATAATATAGGATAATCATACTAAAAATCTGTACACCTAAAGACGCTAGGCAAGAAGGAGGACCCTGAGTAAGATGATCAAGCTTCACTCAGAAAGACAAGTGGTACGAACATCAGAAGAAGGAGAAAACAGGAAACAGGACAGGAGCCTACCACAGAGGGCATCTGAAAGACTCTACCCAGCAGGGTATTAAAGCAGATGCTGAGACTCATAGGCAAACTTTGGGCAGAGTTCAGGAAACCCTGCATTCTTGAAAGCATGACCAGTGTCAACCTTTAATCCTGATTCTGCCATGTACTGGCTGTGTGATTGGAGCCAGATACATTTTTTATGATTGGACTTAAATTTCTCTTTTCTAAAATGGCAGGTGTGAGAAGTAAAATAATAACATTAGCCTACAGTTGGGATACAACATGAAAAAACTGTAATTAATAAAAAAAGAACTAAAATAATAATAATAACATTAGCTATTTGAATGGTGCCTGCCACATACTAACTGCTGATCACATGTGAAGTACCATCACTTTGGTTATAAAAGAGTCAATGCCATTGTTAAATGGGAATTGGTTGAGGAGCTAGAAAATGTGGGATTTAAAAGTGAATCTGAATGGTACAACATAGGCAATGACATAAAGTCTATGTTCTCTCTCTAGCCTAGCATGCCCCACCTCCTCTGTCCTACAAAGATGCTATCTGTTCCACACAGTGTTGGGAAAGGCAGTAAACAACAGTCATATGCAGAGACCTCAGTGAGCAGATTCCCAACCAGAACTCTGCACCTGTTAATACTAGTACAGGCTACTTGGCTGCCCGGAAGAGTAAAAATGAAAAAAAAAGAAAGAGAAAAAAAAGATGCAGTACTTGAAAGAATCCACAATCTTCTATTTTACTGAAATAAAATATTTTTGCTACTTATATTTTTGTTGAATATAGAATGTATACTCTATAAAATGGTGTTCTCTTCTGGTTTAGCTGAAAGAAAGCTTTTTAGGGATAGGAATCAAGCATGAGCCCTTGCATAAACTAGGCAGGTCCTGACTCACAGCCTAACTGTGCTCCTGGAGACTCCAACTACAACTGAGGTGCCATCTAACATATGGCTTCTCTTTCTAGGGGACAAAGTAATCCCATTCTTCGCACCACAGTGTCAAAAATGCAAATTCTGTCTGAGTCCTCTCACAAACCTCTGTGGGAAACTTCGGTAAGCTCTCTTCGCTGTTAATAAGAGTATAAGTAGGCATGTATGTCTTAAACACACCAGCCAAACATAAATGGAGGTGAAAAGATGAGAACCTTCTACTTACTAATTCTACTTCTATGCGCCTATAAGACACTGTTACAAACACACAGGAAGAGAAGCACACTAAAATAAAATGTTCACTGTCATGTGGCTTTTAAGAGCAATGAACAACCACAGGAGTGTACTTCATTGAAAATATAACTTGATCTACTGCTATGTAATAATACAATGGACTATCATACAATGAAAGTAACTACACTTAAAATAAATTCACTGACCTAATTTTAAACACATGTTAAGGGAAAGAAGCAAGATACTAAGAGACATGCTACGTAGTATGGCACAGGAAAACAGTACAAGAGCTTATGGTTACATGTGTATATAACAAAAGTAAAAACGCATCATTAGAGTGATAAATTCCAACTTAAAATCATATCTGCTTATAGGGAAGTGAGAAGGAATACAGAGAGGCACATTAATTTACTCCAGGCCATACAACTTCAGGTCCTGAAACCAGGTTTTAACACACACACTGTGGCTCAACAGTAAGGATCTTAATCACTTCAGACTGATTTTGAGACCAAAGCAAGATATATTTGTCCTTAATACTGACTGAAGCTTGCTATTTAGGAAGTTAAAATCTGGACTGGAGGGATGGCTCAGCAGTTAAAAGTGATCATTAGTCTTACAGAGGACTTGGGTTCAGTTACCAGCACCTACATAGTGGTTTAAGACCATCTATAATTCCAGTTCCAGAAGATTCAATGGCCCATTCTGGCATCTGTGGGAATCTATACATGTGTGGTGCATATAAACTCACACACATACACATACATAATAAGCAAATCTTTTTATAAAATAAATTAAAAGCAGATTACTAACACCTATGCCTTTGTTACTCTATCTGCAATAAGACACTAATGTCAGTCAATTTGCAGGGTTGAATTAAAACTATACTCTTTTGCAAACCTTTAATAATGGATTTACACAACAGCCATGAATTCTAATACTATAAAAACAAAATAACTACATAGATTGACCCCTCCAGGTGTATTATGCCACCTTTGAAGTATTCCCATAAAAATGTGAAATCTGAATCAGACATTTTGTTAAAAACTTCTGATTTAAGAGGCAACACTGAGACAGGGAGACATATTAAACCAGATTTCAGTAGAATGATCAGCAACACTCACAAGGGAAAATCTATAGGACTGATGACTCCAGTTTTCCACAAGGGAGATATGAACTTAAAAAGACATCTTAATAATACGTACTCTGCCAACTTAAAGAAATCCTTGAGAAACATGTGCTGAGATACTCCAATACAGATGAGACTGTATGATACTGGAAAAGAGGTGTGTATTGTGTAGAGTGGCAGGTAAAACTTACTGGCCAAGATTTGACAGTTAATGGGGCTGGAAGGTAAGCACATGGAGGGTCAATGTACTACTCTATTTCTATTTGAGCTTTCTATCAGAAGAAAGAGTTAATAATATAGTCCTTAAAAGAGCTCTTGACATGCAGAAAGCATTTAGCACAAGTTTGTTGGTGCTAACACTAAAATAGCTCAAAAAATACTATGTATGGATGCGAAAATATCAAGTTATTTTCCCAACTTTTCCATTTGATTCCATAAGCTTTCATGAGAAATATATGATTGACAATATATCTCTTTTGTTGTGTCCTTTTCTTTTTCTAGAAACTTTAAATACCCCACCATTGATCAAGAGCTCATGGAAGACAAAACCAGTAGGTTTACCTGTAAAGGAAAACCAATTTACCATTTCATGGGAGTCAGCTCATTCTCTCAGTACACTGTGGTTTCAAAAGACAATCTTGCCAGAGTCGATGATGAGGCAAACTTGGAGAGAGTTTGTCTGATTGGATGTGGGTTCTCATCAGGCTACGGGGCTGCCATCAACACTGCCAAGGTACACTGTTCAATGCTAGGTTGCTTGTAAACAGAGGTTACCGGGAGACAAAACTGTGTAAAGGAGTTAGAACTGTCTTCACTCTCAGCTGCATTGCTCATTGCCACTATAATTAGCTACATCATTTACTGCCTCTGTGGATTTCTTTTTTTTTTTTTTTATGTATTGGAGATTGAAAGCCAGGCCACACACCTGCTAGGCAAATGCTGTACCCATGAACTATATCTCTAAGTTAGGCCTCTGTGATTTTGCGTGGGCTATTAGATGTCTCTAATAGCCAATAGGTGTGAGCATATTAAGTTTTATTGCATATATAAAACAATATATGGTTAATAAGCTAAATGTAGCTGTCCCCTGATTTAAATATAGCCCATCTAAACATGACCTCCAAATACAAATGCTCATCTGGGGACAACAACAAGTGAAGAAACCCCAGCTATTTCCCCTTAGTCACCCTGCTTTCCTCTGTAATTCTGTAGAGTATTACCTCTCAATCAGTAACAATTCACCAATTTCCCATTCTCCTGTGTATAAGAAAATATATTCTTTCAAGATGTATTCCTGGGATCCTATCAGAACTTGAACACTGTTTCGAAGCTAACCAGATTACAGACAGACAAGACTGTTAAAAGAAGAAGAAAAAAAATGCAGGCAAAACACTTAGACACATAAAAAGGGGTAAACACATTTTATAAAAAGTTTTTAAAAAACTCAACCCAGTAAAGTCTATGTAATTCAAAATGGAGTGATATAGGCATTGCAGGGAAGACGCCCATTTCTCCCTGACTCTACTCTATACGTTAGGTATATGTCAGTCTATCAGATATATCTATCTATCTCTAGCTCACTTATTCACTCCTCCCAACTACCACTACATCTACCAGGCTGCCCTCAGACTCACAGTCCTCCTGACTCTGCCTTCCAAGTGCCAGAACTATGGCATGAGCCACGCTATGCTGCTGGACTTCCATTTCGAATGATATAGATTTTGCTGGATTGAGTTTTTTTTAACTTTTTGTAAAATGTATTTACTTCATTTTATGTGTCTGAGTGTTTTGCCTGCATGTACATGCACCAGGGAATATATGTGCCTATAAATCAGAAGAGAGCATCAGATCCTCTGTATAGGAGTTACAGTATGTTGTGAGCTCCAGTGTGGGGGCTGGGAGTCAAATATGTCCTCTGCAAGAACAGCAAGTGCAGGCTGGAGAGATGGCTCAGAGGTTAAGAACACTAGCTATTCTTCTAAAGGTCCTGAGTTTAATTCCCAGCAACCACATGGTGGCTCATACCATCTATATTAAGATCTGGTATGCATGCAGAATGTTGTATAAATAGTAAATAAATATTTTAAAAAAGAAGAAGAAGGAGAAGAAGGAGAAGGAGAAGAAGAAGAAGAAAAAGAAGAAGAAGAAGAAGAAGAAGAAGAAGAAGAAGAAGAAGAAGAAGAAGAAGAACAGCAAGTGCTCTTATCTGCTAAGCCCTCTCCAGTCCTTTGAATGATTTCAGTTTTAATCAATGAAAATTCTATATGGAGAACAAAGTGATGTTCTGATTGATAGATGGTAGATAGTTAAATGATAAAATAACATATCTATTTCCTCGCAAAATTACCTTCAAAATAAAAAGCCTTTCCATGTATCCCCAAAAATACTTAAGTGTAGATGAGCTGCTGGTCAAAGTCACCATTGTGCACAGCAGATCTCCTCAGATGGTGTTGATATTAGTGCTGAGTCGGATATAGAGTTGAAAGTATATTCTCCCATTTCATAGGTTATCTCAAGTCTGTTGGCTATGCCCTTGGTTACACAAAAGGTTTTTAAACTGATATAATCCCATTCATCTATTTTTCTTTTGTTTCTCAGGCTTCTGTTTTTGTTTTGTTTTGTTTTGTTTTGGAGACAGGGTCTCACTAGGCAACCCACAATGGCCTTACTTGATCTTGTGATCCTTGCTCCATCTCCTATGCTCTTCAGAGTGAGATCCAAGAAATCACTGGGCAGATTGTGGCCATAAACACTTTGCCTTATGTTTCTTCTATTCAATTTATAGCCTTATCTGTTGCACTTAAGCCTTTAACCCACTGTGAGCTGAATTTGTGTAAGAGTCAGCTGGGCAAGGTGGTGCACACCCTTCATCTCAGCACTTGGAAGGCAGGGGCAAGTGGATCCAGACTTGGGTCTGAAAGCAGCTGCTCTAGTGAGTTCCAGGGCAGCTACATAGAAAGACCATGTCTCAACAAAAAGAAAAAGAGGAGGAGAAGAAAGAGAAGTCTACTTTTTCTTCTACATGTTGTTATTTGTTTTCTCAGCACAGCTTACTCATTAGCCCATCCTTTCAGAAAGTGCTCCTGACTAATCATGTTTCCAAATTAGATGGCATCAACATCTCATGGAAATATCTGATCTTTTGTTTTTGCTTATTCTTTAATCTGAAGTTTCTAATACTCAGCAGAAAATACTAAATAAGCTTTCCTCTGTGTCGTATTTTCTGCCACTCTTCCACTTCTAAGAATTTGTGCCAACTACAGGACTTCTCTAACCATACTGTACATTGTACATTTAAGTCTATGTGAGAAGACCTTCATCAGAGGTTCACAATATAATAGCAGTAGCCCTCAAAAATGCAGGAGATTAAAAGACCCCCTGCCTTTAAAACACTGGCCAGCTGTGGTGGTTCATGCCTATCTTCCTAGCATTCGCGACACTGAGGCCAGAGGATCACCATGAGGCCAACATAGGCTAAATAGTGAGCTCCAGCCTGGTTTGCAGTGCCATACTCTTCAAAAACCAAAGCAAGAGGGAGGGTTATAAATTATTACATATGCTATAAGAAAAGGAAAGCAAAAATGCATTGATTTCTGACTGAAGAATCAAGAACAGTTTCACAGAGAAAATGCTGTTTAGGCCATGCCTGGAAAGATAGGTTATACTTTACTTTAAAGAAACAGGATGGAGAGTACACTGGCTGAACTTAGGAAGAAGAGATTAAGACACAGGAGTGAAAGGTGCCACCATATATGGCTGTTGTGGATACCATGGAAATGAAACTGAAAGGTAAACAGGAGTCATCAAACATTCACCAACTATGGTATCACATGCCTGTAACATTATAGCACTATAGAAACTAAAGCAAAATGATCTCAAGTTCAAGGTCACTGTAGCCTACACAGTGGGAATCTGTCTGCAACAAACAAATAAGCATCCTTCAATTCCATGCAAAGATATTCAGACTTCATCCCACTTAAATAAAGTGATAATCTGGAATGATCAGGTATATCCATTTACATTTATAGAAATATTAATGGTCATCCAAGAACAATTGCACAGCAAAATAAGGTCCTTTAGAAACCAGGCAATGGTAGTGCATGCCTTTAATCCCAGCACTCGGGAGGCAGAGACAGGTGAATCTCTGTGAATTCTAGGCCAGGCTGGTCTACAGAGAAGTTGCAAGACAGCCAGGAAGATAGTGAAACCCTGTCTCAAAAAAAAAAAAAAAAAAAAAAAAGGAAAAAGAACTATAGATGCCAATTACCTCAAACCCAATTTCAATGGGGGAAAAAACGACTCCTTTGGAATTATGTGAACTTTTAAATTATTTTCTAACATCATTGAAGGGAAGGTGAAATTGAGAATTCTTTCCACTTGGGTTTGCTCCTTATGAATGGATACGTTATTGGCCTTTGAATAACATTAGAAATTCTGGCAGGAAAGCATCTGTCCTCACATTGGCAGGTTCTCAGCACTGGATACATCATAGCTTTATCACAGTCATTCTCTTCGTTTGTGTGTCTAAGCCCTCATCTCGCTCTCCCCCATGAAGGAAAACACTGAGAGCAGCAGCGTTAAGTCACTCTGCACTTTCCCTGTCTGCAGGTCACCCCTGGTTCCACTTGTGCTGTCTTTGGTCTTGGGTGTGTAGGTCTTTCTGCTATAATTGGATGTAAAGCAGCAGGTGCTTCCAGAATCATAGCGATTGACATCAACAGTGAGAAGTTTTCAAAAGCCAAGTCCCTGGGAGCCACTGACTGCCTTAATCCCAGAGACCTAGATAAACTGGTGCAGGATGCCATCACTGAACTGACCAGTGGAGGTGTGGATTTCTCCCTTGACTGTGCAGGAACAGCCGAGACCTTGGTATGTGGATTTTTCTTCCCATCCTTGCTTCTTCTGATATGCTCTTTAATCAGCAAATAATAAGGGAAAGTGACTATTTTACAGCAGTAGATATCCTTCTTAACACTCATTTTCAAAGGGCAGGCAGAAAAGCATTGTCATCTATAGGTGATCAACCACTCCCTCAGCCATACTAACTTTCTGTCAAAGTTCACTGGTGTGGCCTCTTTTGGCTTGTTTTATGTTAGTATCTTGAACTTGAGGCTTATTAAGAGAAGACGCTTATTATGCTTACATTTTGGAAGTTGAAAAACTGTAAATAGCACAGGGTTAATTTGGGTGACTCTCCTGTCTGCACCAGCACATCTGAATGGGATTATGGCAGGAGCACCTACGTCCATTAGGCTTCTCTGAAGATCCCACCAGTTATCAACACTGCCATGCAGTGTACAAATGCATGAATCCTTCAAGGACACAGTGAGACCAAGCCTAAGGCTTCCCATATGCCAGTGTGATCTGTGAGCTCAGGCCTCCAAGATGAGCACCCATGCCACTTATTTTGTTTGTTCTTTTGAGAGATCTTCTTAGGCAGAAAATATTTTCCAATTTTGTTTTCCATGATGATTCCAACTATTCTAAAAGGTAATTTGAGGGTTCCTTTATTTTTCCGTAGCTAGGGAAATCCCCACTCTATCAAATCAAATAAAAAAAGGCAATGAGCCACCTGTTGCTGACAGGTCATCTCTGTACCTTCTGCTTGTGGTAGCACCCTGCTTTATCCTTCAGTCAATAATCACCTAATTTGTATTTGCTCAAGATACTGATTTTATTTTTGTTTGATTAGGGATGAAATTACCAAAGGATTTAACAACTGAGTTACTGCCTTGATTCTTCCTGTTTCACTGTGAGTGAGAAGCAGTTGTGGTGTTTTCCTTTTGAGTAACACTATCATGCAGCCTGGTTACTAACCCTCCTCTTAGAGATGGTTAAAAGGAGTAAAGTTATAAAGAAATAGACTTGGTGGTGTTTCCTCCCCTGGGTCTTACCTGACTAGTACATTCTCCAGAAACAATGGAGCCCAGGAAGAAAGCAATTTGTAGGCCACACACAAACCGCCTGACAGCCTCTAGCAGTTGGTAAATGCAAGTAGACATTGGCTGCTATTGGGGCAGCACACATACAGGGCTTTTAACCCTGTGCCTGTACCTGTATTCTGGGCTTCCACCCTAGCCTGCAGTGCTGCATGTACGTTCTGCACTTCCCACAGCTCAGTTTTTACAGGGAAAGGCAGCCTACTTGCCACATTCTTTTTTTAATTGTGATGGCTATCATTAGACTGTCTTAGTCAGGGTTTCCGTTACTGTGATGAAACACAATGACCAAACACCATAGAGAGCAGAGAATTTACTTGGCCTACACGTCTGCGTTTTAGTCCATCATTGAAGGAAACCAGGACAGGAACTCAAAACAGGGCAGGAACCTGGAGGCAGGAGCTGATGCAGAGGCCATGTAGGAGTGCAGCATACTGTCTTGCTCCCCATGCTTGCTTAGCCTTCTTTCTTCTAGAACCCAAGACTACCAGCCCAGGGTTGGCATCACCTGCAATGGTCTGGGCCCTCCCCCACCAATCACTAGTTAAGGAAATGGCCTACATGCTTACCTAGAGCCAATCTTACAAAGACATTTTGTTAATTGAGGTTCCCCCCCTCTTAGCTTGTGTCATGATAACATAAAACTATCTGGCACAGACTTCCTAAAAGTTTCAGTTGTTTGCTATTATTTTGTTGTTTTGTAAAATATCAATGGCTGAACTATACTCCTAGGAAATGTGCAGGAGCTGGAGCCCCTTGCCACAGTTTGGGGGAGTTTTACTGTTGCTTTTTTGTTCTTTTTTTTTTCTTCAAATAAAAAACAGTGATATAAGTCACCTAATAGAGCATGTTAATTTTAACATGTTAAGTTTTAACATGTAGTATTACAGCTGACTTACAGGTATTTTAAATTATGAATCAGAATTACACTAAGGAATCCAGATGAAACAAGATAGATGTATCTAATCCTGAAAGATGACATACTTATTCTTCCACCAAAAGTTCCCATACCTCAAAAAACAAACCCATGTTTGGGGGTTATAAAGCAACTTCTAACTATAGGTATAGGTTTGAACTTAATTTATATCTAATTCTCTGATTAGATATAATCAGCCTAAAGGACCTAACAGAACAGTTCAAAAGTTATACAGCATTAACAAGTTTGTAATGTTTTGCTAATTCAAACAAAAATATTCTTTGAGACAGGGTCTCACTATGTAGCCCTGACTATCACAGAACTCACTGTGTAGACTAGAATGGCCTTGAACTCATGGAGTTCTCCCTGCCTCTGCCTCTGCCTCTCAAGTATTGGGATTAAAATGTATAACAACACACACAGGCAAAACAGGTTGTTATCAAGAGTCATCTGTCTACTGAATGTATTGTGTTACATACAAATCCCATTTGCACTGTTACTGTCATAGAGCTTAACTGATGAACTAGAGCAATGGTCAGGAATGTGAACACAGCACCAGGAAAGGCCTTTAAAACACAGTAGTGGTCATTTCCGTTTTCTCACATGTATATGATATGCATACGGGTATATATGCATGTTTGCATGTTTTGAGTGTACACATAAATGCATGTGCACGTGGAGGTTGATGTCCAGAGTCTTCCTCAATCGCTCTCCTCCTTAAAAACAGCAGTAATTTTAGAGTTCTTGTGAGCAGCCACTTTAAGGTGAGAAATCCACAGGCTTATCTTCTCTCGTGGGTCTCTCTTAGCAATACGTAAATATAACAACCTTGTGTCTTACAAAATACACAGAAAATAAGGCTGAACATGATGGCACACACCTTTAATCCCAGCACTTGGAGGACAGAGCCAGGCAGAACTTTGTAAAGTCAAGAACAACCTGATCTAAACAGTGAGTTTCAGGACAGCCAGGGATATGGAAGGGTTAATCTCTCTTCTCTACTTCTCTTTTTCAGTTTTGTAGTCTGGTGGGATGTAGTTCTGCTGTTGTCGGGTTTTGTGATTTTATCACTTTGTTTCTTTTCCTTGTTTCTTTGTTTGTTTGTTGTTTTGTTTTTTAGATAAAGTCTTACATGTAGCTGGCCTGGAACTTGCAATCCTCCTGCCTCAGACTCCCAAGTGCAGGAATTATGGGTATGTACCACCATCTCCATCATGGACTTGATTTTCAAACATTAGGAATTGTCAAAATAGTAAATAAACATACATTAAAATAAAAACTTTAAAACACATTCTAAGTTTCCAGAATTGGCCATCTTCCAGGAAGAGAGACTAACTGCTTCTTCTTCAGTGTTCAGCAACTCGAAGCCAACAACAGTTTTTGTAAAAGTAAATCTCACTCCAAATGTTCAAACTCAAGTTGACCACAAAGGATGTGAACAAAGATTATATTTGTCTTCCATATCAATCTCAAAATATTTAAAATGTTTATCTGTTTGCCCTATGGCTTCTCCATGGAAAGGCCTTCCACAGTGAAACTTCCATTTGTTTTTTGTTTGGTTGCTTTTTTTAATTTATTTATTTTTTTTATTAATTACAGTTTATTCACTTTGTATCCCAGCTGTAGGAGACGAGGGAGGGAGAAACCTTCCGTTTTCAATTAGCCTTTTTACTCCACCCCAGACTTACAGGAGGCTAGCAGCAATATTCTCTGTCTCAGCGATCCAGAAAGCTCAAATCCACAGCCTCAGTCTCAGCGAGAGCACACATAGCAGGCAGAACACACCCTAACTGTAGGCTAAAAACATGGAGGGAAACAAAGTGTTATTTTCTTGTATCTTTATCCCATTTTAAATAGTATTTCTCCATATTTATCCTACTTCGAAATCTAAGTATCCAGTGTGTGCTTCATTTCGCAGGCTCTACAGAATCACTTACTAGCTCTCTCTTCATACTTCTCAATATTTTGATCACAGGCTCCAAGAATTTCTCATATTTTAGCAAATGTTTGTGGTAGATTGCCAAACCACTCCTGACTAAAGTTCATTCTCTATAGATTCCTCTTAATTCTCAGGTCATGTTTCTCAGTATCTATGTTATACTTCACAGGTTCAGCCAAACCATGGTGTTTGTACCGGGTAAAATATGTCCCATGTCTTTTGAATATCTTTTGATGGTATCAAGGGTTGTTTCCTTTGTCCCACACATAACAGAACACTAGAGCCTCATAGTTGGTTGGAGGATGTGATGACCCCCTAACTTGAGCCTGCTGTGTAACTGGCAACGTTGTACACGTTTTCCTGCAGCACTGTATGTGCTCACACTCAAGTCTCTGCTTGCCCAGGTAATCTTTTGTTTGATATTGCAGAAAGCAGCCGTGGACTGCACAGTAATAGGCTGGGGATCGTGCACTGTAGTTGGAGCAAAGTCTGACGAAATGAATATATCCACCGTGGACGTTATAATGGGCCGTTCTATAAATGGAACATTCTTTGGTGGTCAGTTTTTTCTTCACTACAATATTAAATTATTAATTACTAAATTTTGAAACAAAAATAATTCATATGAACATTGAGTATTAAAAAAAATTTCCAATAATTTGAAAAGTAAATGAAGTTTATATGAAAATATGACTACAATTTACAAATTGAAATTCAGTTTAAGTAAGTGAACTTAGTGGTACAAACCTATAATCCCAGCAATCAAGGGAATGAGACAGACAGATAAGTTTGAGACATATAATGAGTTCAAGACCTACCTGAGCTGTACAACAAGAACCTTTCTCAAAAGAAAACAAAAAAAAAATTCAAGTGGTATTGAAATGAACCAGTTGACTGAGAAACTTTAGGAAAGTTTGGTCTAATTAAGACAATTTCTTAGCTAGAGTGGATAATAATCTTGAATTTTTTATGAAGAAAAACTTCTTTTTGTTTGTTTGTTTGTTTTTGTATTTTTTGAGACAGGGTTTCTCTGTGAGGCCCTGGCTGTCCTGGAATTTACTTTGCAGACCAGGCTGGCCTTGAATCCAAAGATCTGCCCATCTCTGCCTCCCAAGGATGCTAGGGTTAAAGGCATGTGCCACTATTGTCTGACAAAGAAAAATTTTTTAAAAAATTAATACAATAAAAGGTAGAGCAAAGCTTAATGTATTTAAAGCAACCCAAATCTCACCTAATAATTTCACCTCTTCAAACACACTTATCTAGATTTAAACAAAGACACCGAACTAGAAGGGGTCCAGCAAGATACAGGACGGGTAATGCCAGTATACTCTGAGATAGCAGATATTAGCAGAGTACATTCTACACGTGTACAAATGCCATTAAAATGTCTTTAAAGGAGGAAGTTAACCACTTCTGTATGTCGAATAGTGTGCCTTTCTTTATATGAAATTGTGGCCTAATTACAGGTTGGAAAAGTGTAGATTCTGTCCCAAACCTGGTTACTGACTACAAGAATAAGAAATTCAATCTGGACTCATTGGTGACCCATGCCTTACCATTTGACAAAATCAATGAAGCAACTGACCTGTTGAACCAAGGAAAAAGGTAAACTTCCAAGTCTATAACTGGGAGGTTTAGAAGTTTTTTATGATTTTTCATTTATGACTTTTTGTCTTATGTGTGTGCATGCATACGTGTGTCTGTGTGTGTGTGTGTGTGTGTGTGTGTGTGTATTTGCACCATGAGCATGTAGGTGCCTGAAAAAGCCAGAAATAGGAAGTCAGATCCCTTGGAACCAGAATTACAGGCATTTGTGAGCCATGTGATATGGGTGCTAGGAACTGAACCTGGGTCCTCTGCAAGAGCTTCGAATGCTCCTAACCAGTCAGCCATCTTTCTAACCCCAGCCTTTATGATTTTTTATTTAAGCTAACAACTAAGCAGAGGTCTCTTCTGACTCTCTATCAAAATCACCAGATGTGTTTAACAGATGAAGTTACTGCTTTTTGGAATAAAAGAAAGGCTTCCGTTTCTGTAGTGCATCGTGTTATACGCTATGCTGCATACGGCAGTGGAAAGGGAACACTGATAGACAGCTTCCCGTTCACAAATAATTGTTAACTCAAACCAGTTATTCCCTAGAAGGAAAGATTTCTATAGGATAATGGTAGGTTCCTCTGGTCCCATGTGCACAGGTCTAGAACCATTTTCTGTGATTTGACATGGTCAGATCCCTATTCAGCCACTGAAATATGAGCAGAGAGTGGCAGGTATATACAGGTACTTCAACTCTCTACTTCCTTTGTTCCAGGGCTCCTGTAGGATCCCTAACCCAACAATGTTAGCTGTACTATGCATCTCAGTATTGGTTACTACATATTCATTTATAGCAATGTTCCATCAAGGGAGCTGGGGACTGTGTAAGACTGGGATTAATTATGTTAGTCAATTTACAGCGTTTACTGATAGAAGCAAAACATGACTACTGTGAACAATGATATTTAGAAGAGAAATGGGACAAAGATCTTAAGAGATGTGGCAAAAAAAAAAAAAAAAAAAAAAGAGGAGGGATAAAGTGGAGGAGCCTAAATTAAAGTGAAGGTGATGGACTTGGAAACACAGAATGTCACAGAAAAACAAAATGAATCCATGGGGTAAAGACCCAGGTTATTTAATGGAGAAGAAACCTGAGAAAATATCCCACTGACATGTACTTTCCCAAATTACAAACACATTAGCTACAGCATAAAAAAGTCCAAGAAAGACAGAAGAAAAAGTGTTTCTTTCTAAAGCTATATTATGTAAACACAGCAGACAAACCCTGTAATATCGCAGACAACTCGTCATGCCCACAGTCAATATTCCTCAGGTTAGCTGTTTGGGGAGTGGGGTTGGGAAGCTTGAGAATCCGGAGTTTGTGGTTTCTCCCTACAACCTTTTCCCATGAAGTTCTCAGCTGCAGGATAGACCCACAATGAATGCTAAGTGGCAGCGGCCAAGTGAAATATCACGCTGTAGTGAGCAGATGGACAAATCTCCCATAATCCACAGAAGTTCCTAAGTAATTAATGATCAAGCGGGATCTTAGGGGTTGGTCTACCTGAGGCGAGTGTCATACTCCCCTCATGGCCCTGAGGGAACCACCTACCTATCTACAAATGGACAAGTGGCCTTTACCACTTAGGTACAGGAAACACGTCAGAGGGAAAGTCCTCCTGCCTTTCTAACTACATAGGCAAAAAGGAGTAAAGAGAAGTCAAGGGAACGCAGTGGCTCACTGCATAGCACATGAAACCTCCATTATCCAGGTAGAAAACATTTAGGCATGGCGCCCTGCATATGCCAGCATTCTTTGGCTACTGCTGTGTTGTCTGAGATAGGGTTTCTGTCTGTGTTTACACTCATCGGGATGACTCAGGTTTGCCATCATTGGAGTTTTCAGAAAGCGGCATCCCATCATATCAACCTCTCTCTCCTTTGATGTCCAATTTTTCCAAGAGTGGTGACTTCCCAGCACTAAGGCCTCTTTCCTCAGCTGGCATGCCTTCATTCTCAATAGCACCACCAGCAACAAGGGACTTACTCTGTCATGTCAAAATCCCCAATCCACCCCCCCCAAGTTAGTAACAGTGTCACAAATATTATTAATGCCATGAGTGGAGAAAGATGACAAAATAGAAGAAATTATTCTTAACATTGTGGGCATCTCCTAAAGGGAAGAGCTGGACAAGAAGGGGGTGGGATGAGTATGATCCAAGAACAGTGAATACATGCCTTAAAATAGCATAATCAACTGCACATAAATTGCGCAGGTTAATTTTTAGTAGGTGTCTCTAAAGAAAGATTAGCTCAAATTCTGAAGTGAAAAGAAAAACAACCTGTTGACTTTGGATAAAATGTTCAGATAAATAGTATTTATTCTATTATTATTATTATTATTATTATTATTATTATTATTATCAGCATCCGAACAATCCTGACCTTTTGAAGACACCAAGAGTACTTTAGAATATTATCTGATTGGATCTGAGCCTGTCTGGTTAACGTATTACTTCACATGATGAGCCAAAGAAAACTACAAGTTTATGCACATGTTTATACAACAACATAAATTAACTAGAAATAACATACCTATAAATATATTCAGATTTCCTGTATTAAATAACTGATGCTGCGTATCATGGCTCAGGGGAACACACCTTGCTTAGCATGTACAAAGCCTTGATTTCAATGCCCAGAAAAGTGAGTGGATGAAGAAATGAATTAGATACCTGAAGGGTGTATAGAATCATTTGTTTAGAAACTGTTTAAAACTATTTCTCAAAAGTGGAGGTGGAAAATGAAAAAAATAAATAAGGTTTGGCTATACGTTTGTAACTTCTTAAGCTGGGGAATGAATACATGGAATTTCATTATACTGTTCTTTTCACTTTCATCTGTGTTGACAATTTTCCACAATAAAAAGACTTTTGCTAAAAAAAACTGTAATATATGAGTGTATGTGTATAAAAATTATTATATGGTTTATGTATTCTAATAAATTATTATCTATTCTTAAATCAGATGATAATTTTTAATATCTTTTTATTTCTTTTCTGTTACCCCATTTTGTAATAATTCACTACAATCATAAGTAATGGAATATTAAAATCTACATAAAAATGTTAAAAACACACACATACACATCTAAGCCAAGTGTGGTGGTGCATACCTCTAATCCCAGCACTCAGGAGATAGAGGCACATAGATCTCAGAACGGAAAGCAAAGCCTGGTCTACAAAGCAAGTCCAGGACAGCCAGGGCTTGTTACAGCAACAAAGCCTGTCTCAAAAAAACAAAACAAACAAACAAATAAAACCCACATCTACACTCTCAATATGTCTCTATAAAAACTATTCTTTTATCTGATAATTTTAATACATTATGTTTTTTGTTTTACAGGCTAAAAAACTGTAATTGGCACTAAGTGAAGCTATTTTCTAAAGTCAACTAAAAGCAATAAAGAACAAGACAGGCAGTAGTGGCACATACTGTCACTCTCAGCTCTCAGGAGGCAGAGGCAGGTGAACCTCTGAGTTCAAGGCCAGCCTGGTCTACAGTGCTAGTTCCAGGACAGCTAAGACCACAAAGTAAAAGCCTGCTTAAAAAAAAAAAAAAAAGTAATGAAGAACAATGAACCAATGTACTTAAAATAAAGCAGTGGGTCTGGAGAGGTGACTCTGCAGTTAAGAGCACTGGCTGCTCTTCCAGAGAGCCCATGCTTAATTCCCAGCATCAATATGGCAGCTCTCAACTGTGTAATTCCAGTTCCAGAAAATCCCATGCCCTCTTCTGGCCTCTGTGGACACCAAGCAGGCATGCAGCGTACTTACATACATGGACGCAAAACACTCAAATACAAAAAATAAAAATAAAGAAATCATTGGGCAGCACTTGGGAGGCAGAGGCAGGTGGATGTCTGAGTTTGAGGCCAACCTGGTCTACAGAGGGAGTTTCAGGACAGTCAGGGAGGGCAACACAGAGAGACCCTGTCTCGAAAGACCAAAAAATTAAAACTTTTTAAAAAGAAAGATATGAATTTGAGGCCAGCCTGATCTACAAAGCGAGTCCAGGACAGCCAAGGCTACACGGAGAAAGGCTGTCACACAGAGAGAGAGAGAGAAATGTTGCCAAGTGTGCTAGCGCATGCCCCTAATCCCACCACTTGAGAGGTAGAGGCAGATGGATCTCTATGGTTTCAGATCAGCCAAGGCCAAATGGTGGCACCCTATCTCTAAATAAATAAATAAATCATAAAGAAACAAATATATAAAAATAAAGCAAGGCTGGCAAGGTGGCTCAGTTAGTAAGGCAGCTTGCTGTCAGGCCTTAAAACCTCAGTTCAATTCCCAGAGCTCACATGGTAGAAAAAAAAAAGTGTTATCCTCTGATCTCCATGCAAGCACATGGCACACAGCCCACATACAGATGTACAGACACACACAGTAGATACAAGAAATATTTTATTTTACTTTAACATGAAAAATAAAGCAGCATAAGAGTAAAAATAGTCATAGATTTACATAATAAGTAGTAAATAAGAGTTTCTAAACTACTATATTCTTGAAGTTACAAGCTGGTAGTAACAGAGGATAAACTGGGTAATTCAGATCAAAGTAATAAAGATTAGCTCTCAATTTGGAAAAATCTCTGAAATCCACCAGCTTTCTTTGCAACCTGTCGTAGTCACTGTTCTATTCCTGTGAAGAGACACCATGACCAAGGCAACGTGAAAGAAAGAAAGAAAGAAAGAAAGAAAGAAAGAAAGAAAGAAAGGAAGGAAGGAAGGAAGGAAGGAAGGAAGGAAGGAAGGAAGGAAGGAAGGAAGGAAGGAGAGAGAAAGAAAGAAGGAAGAAGGAGGGAGGGAGGGAAGGGAGGAGAGGGAGGGGAGGGAGGGAGGGAGAAATCATTGAATCGGGCTTGAAGATTGCCTTTTAGAAGTAGAAGAAAGTTGGCCTGGGAATGTTTTCTACATCTGTGGTATGGGGACTAAAACACACTTCACAGGTTGTTAGCCTCTCGTGCTATTCTAGCATGCTTTTCTCTCCTTCATCCTTATCCTTCGCTTCCTTGACCCCTAGATTGCTTTTTGCCCACCTCCTTTCAAGATCTGTTTACCACAAAATGCATCATTTCCCCATTGTTTTGGTGCCAAGTGACTTTACTGAAGCCTTAACACATGCTGCTTCCATTGTTTCTGAAATATATGCTTGCAATCTCCTTGAAGGCAGAACAATCTTTGAGTGCACAGACAGGAAACATGTTTGGTAACAAGTTTGCTCTTGTGTGCATCCAAATAATCTATATTCCCTCTTTTTTGGTTGCTGCTATTTAGCGTGTGGTGGGTTTGGGTTTGGGGCTGTTTTGTTTTTGGTTTTGGTTTGAGAATTTCATACATGAGTACTGTATTTACATCATTTATATTGTCTCCCCTCTCCAACTCACATACAAGTAATGCAGTTTTCAATGAGTAAAATAGTGAAAGTCTACATTCTGACAGCTGGCTCCTTTTCCTGCAAGCTCTCATTCACTAATGAGTGATGCTTTTTGAAAGGTGAGATGCATGCACTGCTACATTTCTGGAGAGTCAAGCCACTGTAACAGAATAGAACTTGATTCCCTCCACAGGAAATAAAAAATATTATGGTAATGGCTTACAGGACAATGTACTTTCTGTTGTTCTGAAGAACTATCCTGCTCTCTATTTGCCAATGTTTCAGTCCAAAGATTAAAATTTAAGGTACATATACCATGAACCTTCTTCAAGATAATAAATCTTCATATCAAAATGTATGTTCCCCAACATAACAAGGCACATGTTTTATAGGTCTGGTTTTGTAGGTCTAACATTAGTGACAATATTTATTTGTTCCAGTAATAGTGTACAACACTCACATTTAAACAGCAATCTGATCACAGTACTACTATACATTTGTCTGAAAAGCACAACGGGTTTTAACATAGTCACTATGGCCTTCTGGCACCTTAGTTTTCAAAATACTACCACAGCACCCTCTGGTGTTACTTTTAGTTTGTCATTTCCTAGATACCATTTTTACTGAGAAAAAACAAATCAGGAAGAATAGCAATTTCTATTAATATCAAAGCTATCATTTTAAAGGGCCCCTTCCTATGCATTATATAATGTGATCCTCACACACTTTTGCTATAAGGCCCCTGAAGGCAGGGCCATGTACCTAAACCTGAGCACCTTACAGAGAGCAGGTCCTCCAGCCTTTTACCCTGTGAAGTGGTCAAGGCAGACTTTATTAACTCCAGAAAGTGAGTCCTGTTACAGGAACACATATACTATTCTTCCAACTGCTTTATAAGGATGGTGTATCTGCAGGCTAAACATTTTTTATTGGTTTTGATTTTGATGACTGATGTTTGGTTTGATTTTGGTTTGCTTTGCCTTACTTGAGAGTCCCTGTCTCTTGATCACTTCCCCACTGTCGGGGTAACCTTGCCAGCCCACAGAAGAATAGGATCCAGGCAGTCCTAATGAGATTTGATAGGCCAGGGTTAGATAGTGGGGGAGGAGGACTTCCCTTTTCAGTGGACTAGGGGAGGGAGGAGGTGGAAAGAGAAGGGAGGGGGAGAGCAGGAGCTAACGAGGGAGGAGGCTACAATAGAGCTATAAAGTGGATAAATTGGAGAGAGAGAGAGAGAGAGAGAGAGAGAGAGAGAGAGAGAGTGTCAGAGTCCCTGTCTCAAAATGTAGACCAGGGTGGTCTGGATCACAGAGACACACCAGCCTCTGTCTCCTGGGTGCTACAATTAAAGGTATGGCTTGCCAACACCAGCTCATGTACCTGTAACAGACACCTATAAGTAACTCCAATAAACAGACTGCTTCATCATATTGACATTTGGGCTAATTCATTTTCTTGGTCTGTTAATGCTCTATCTGGGGAAAACAGAAGTCTCTGTATGTTGCCCATGAAAAGTTGGTTAGCTATGCCTCTGTCCATTTCTGTCAATCAAAATCAATCTACAGATTCAATGCAATCTCCATCAAAATTCCAACATAATTCTTCACAGATCTTGAAAGGACAAGTCTCAGTTTCATATGTAAACACACACACATTAGCTAAAACAATCCTGAACAATAAAAGAATGGCTAGAAGTATCACCAGTTACGATTTCAAGATGTACTACAAAGTTATAGTAATAAAGACAGCATGGTATTGACATAAAAAAGGACACCTTGATCAATGGAATCAAAATGAAGACCCAGACATAAATCCCCACACCTATGGACACCTGTTTTTTTTTTATAAAGAAGCCAGAAATACAACTGAAAAAAAAGACAGCACCTTCAACAAACGGTGGTAGTCAACGGGTGGTTGTATGTAGAAGAATCCAGATTAATCTATGTTATCACCCTGCATAAAATTCATCTCCAAATGGACCAAAGACCTCAACATAAAATCAGATACACTGATCCTGACAGAAGAGAAAATGGGGAATAGCCTTGAACTGACTGGCACAGAAAAGACTTTGTTAACAGAACACGATTAGCTCAGGCACTAAGATCAATGACCTCTTGAAACTGAAAAGTTTATGCAAGGAAAAGGACACTGTCGTCAGGGCAAAGTAGCAGCCTACAGAGTGGGGAAAAGATTTTTTACCCACTCTGTAGCCAATACAGGAGTAATATCAAAAATATATAAAGAACTCAAGAAAGTAAATATCAAAAAAACCCAAATGAACCAATTAAAATGATAAACATAAAATCTTAAATAGAGGAAACTCAAATGGCTGAGAAAGAAATCAACATCCTTAGTCAGTTGTTCTCATGCTGAAACCCTTTAGTACAGTTCCTCATGTGATGACACCTCAACCACAAATTATTTTTGTTGCTACTTCATAACTGTAATTTTCTACTGTTCTAAGCTGTAATATAAATATCTGATATATGACCTCCAAAGGGGTTGCAACCCACAGGTTGAGAACCACTGTCCTTAGTCATCAAGGAAATATAAATCAGAACTACTCTGAGATTTAATCTTTCACCCACCAGAATGAGCAAGATCAGTAAAACAAATGACAGCTCATGCTGGTGAGGACTAGCAGTAAGGGGGCCATTCAGCCACTGCTGGTAGGAGTCTAAATTTGTACAGCCACTATGGAAATAAGTGTGGCAGGTTCTCAGAAAGCTGGGGATAGGTCTACTCAAGATCCAGTTGTATCACTCTTAGGCACATACCCAAAGGACTCTTCATCCTACTACAGACACTTGTTCAATCATGTTCACTGCTGCTCTACTCATAACAGCCAGAAACTGGAAACAGCCTAGGTGTTCCTCAACTGAGGAACAAATACAGAAAATGTGGTACATTTACACAACAGAGTATTATTACGCTATTCCTAAAAAACAACATCATGAAATTCACAGGAAAGTGGATGGAGCTAGAAAAAAAAAAAATCATGAGTGAAGTAACCAGACCCAGAAAGACAAATACGTATGTATTTACTTGTTTGTGGATGTTAGCTGTTGTCTTTTTTTTTTTTTTTAAGACAGGGTTTCTCTGTGTAGCCCTGACTGTCCTGCAACTCCCTCTGTAGACCAGGCTGGCCTCAAACTCAAAGATCCACCTGCCTCTGCTTCCACAGTGCTGAAATTAAAAGCATGTATCACCAGACCAGCAGCTGGTAAGTCTTCAATACACAAACTACAATCCATAAAACCACAAAAGTTAGATATCGAAGTAAGGGACTAGGGAGGAGGGATGAATCTCCCCAGGAAGGGAAAATAGAATAGTTATGGATGGTGGGGGTCGGGGGAAGGTTACATGAATGGGAGAATCAGATGGGGAGTGGAAGGAAAGAGGGGTAAAGGAAGAAATAGGGAGGGATAACTAAAACTGAGTGCCTGTATGGAAACCCCCACTACAGTAGAAAGTTTCCAAAAATACATACATACATGAAGGCAATCAAAATAAAACCACTAAGTAACAGAGGAAACGGATCCCCCCAGCTGGACATCTCTCCCCATCAAATGAGGCTTCCAGTACCAGGAATAAGCTATATCTAATTGAGTTGTTGGAAAAAGGAGCCCCATGGAACCCCCAAACAACCCAAACTATTGGCTGATCTCAACACTGCCTGGGTAGCCAAGAACCTGAGACCAGATAGGCCAGGCACCTAGGGGAAGACAAATACTACTTCTCCTAAAGAAACATAGCCATATAATGACCCCTAACAACATTCTGCTATATTAAAAAATGAGTGCCTTGCTCAGCTATCACCAGAGAAGCTTCCTCCGGCAGTAGACACAAAGACCCACAACTGGGCAATGTGCAGAGACCTGGGACATTCCTAAAGGGATGTTTCCACTGAAACTCTCCCTCAGGGCTCAGACAGCCCCACAGAAAAGGAAGTAGAAAGATTGTAAGAGCCAGATGAGATGGAAGACCTGAAAGAAACAAAAGCCCTCTAAACATAGGAATGAAGCAGACATGAACTGAGACTGAGGCAGTATGAACAGTGCCGGCACAGGTCTAGACCAACAGGTCCCAGCCCTGAGAGAGTAAGTGGACCCCCTCCCTAACCCAGAAGCTATCTCCAATTGATAATCATTCACAAATGAAAAATTAGTTCTCTCCAACAAAGTTTCACTGGGGACACAAACCACCCATAAGGGCAGGCCTCATCATACCCAGCAGTAGATAGCTAACACAAACTCAATGTAATCTTTGGAGGTTCTGCCTCATGTCTTGCCGGACATTTTTTTAAACCTTACAGATCCTTTGTGTACATATTATGACTTCTGGTTTGTTTTTAATCGGATTCCTGTGTGTATAAACATTTGTGTCTCTTCATCTATGTTTCTTGTGTTTTTTCTTTGCCTTTTTTTCTTCTGTTTGCTCATTAGCTTGCTTGCTTGCTTGTTTTATCCTATTCCAGTTTTTGTTTTATCTTACTTTATTATTCTTTAGATGCCTAGGTCTGGTTCTGATGCTTGCCCAGTTGATTCAAACTGTGTTTTGCCTTTCTGTGTACCTTGTAATTTTTTAATTAAAGGCAGATATAGTTTACTATGTAAAAATAAACACAGTAGCATGATGCTAGTTAATTGTAAGGAAAGAAAAAGGGAAAGCATTCTACAGTTTTAATTGTTTATTTTTTCTGAGTCTTGAGGTGAACCTATAAACTTTAGTTATTCTCAGTTGTGTCCTTTTTTTTTTTTTTTTCTTTTTTAAAATTCTCACCTCCTTAAAATGTACAGGATGCTAGAGCTAGAGGGAGCTGAGGTTAACCCATCTCCCTTAACAGCCACTAAATGAGCACAGGGAAACTGTATGCTGAGTTAAGCCCTGGTAAAATAATTTTTGAGAGCAAACCTCCTTAAGAACAGAAATGTTTGCATTTCCACTCCCTCTAGATCAGCAGTTCTCAACCTCCCTAATGTTACAACCCTTTCATACAGTTCCTCATATTGTGGTCCCCTCCAACCATAAAATTATTGCATTGCTACTTTATGACTGTAATTTGGCTACTGTTACGTAACTGAAGTGTAATATTTGATATGCAGGGTATCTGCTATGTGGTCCCTGTGAAAGGGTCGATAGACACCCCCAAAAGGGTCATGAGCCACAAGCTGAGAACCACTATTACAGAGGAAACGGTAGAAAAAATGTTCTCCCTCCTTCCCTGGGAAATCATGAGAATAAAATTTACAGAGTCTGAGAAGACTTCCCTCCACTCCACATGACTGCATCCTCCCAAGGGTTTACAAATGTCAGGCTAACTTGCAAGGAACCGCCAGCAAGATGTCAATACACTTCCATTTCATAGCCCAGTACTGGTTCTGGCAGTGACAGGGGTCCAGTCTAGTAAGTTGTGAGTCTCTACATTCCTGTCTCTAATTTGGTGGCAGCCCTCCATGTGACTTCACTTCTGGGTGAACTTTTAGTTCCTCAACATGCTCAGCTTCTTACTGGAGTATAACTTATAATCTTCATATATGGTGGGTCTGAATAAAAATAGCCCCATAGGCTAATATATTTGTCTCGGATGCAGCTCTCAGCTCTTTCCAGCACCATTCAAGCCTGTGACCACACTCTCTCTCCTAATGGACTAACCCTCTGAAAATGTAAGCAAGCCCCTAATTAAATGCTTTCTTTTTTAAGAGTTTCCTTGGTCATGGGTATCTTTTCACAGCAAAAGAACAGTGACTAAAGCGCCAAACTTGTCAAAGCGAAAATCAGAAGGCCTACTGGTTTTTTGTTGTTGTGTGCTGGTTTAAGGAGAGGTTCCAACAAAAATGCTAAGTTTCAGTAATAAACCTACAATAGGGAAAGAAAAAAAAAAAAGCAATCTCACCAGAATTCTAATATTATCCCTATCCTTGTCCTTAAATACTTTTAGAATAACGATATTAGATTGTTATCCATCTGACTCAAAAGAAATCTAAGAGGAAAGCACACGCATTGATCAATGTATGTTTTAGAAAGATCGCAAAGAGGGGTTAATTTAGAAGTGTTAGAGATTCAGGCTTGGAACAGTATTGTACAGAAACTCAACCCTTAATGGTGTCTTCAGAAAATAAGCCTTAACTTTGACTCCCCCCCCCCCCCCCCCCAAGGAAGGAGCAGTTCTGCTAGGCCACAGAGGAGGACTTCGCAGCCAACCGATAAAACAGGGCCAGATGAAAGGGGAGGAGGTCCTCCCCAATCAGTGGACTTGGAAAGGGGCAGGGAGGAGATGAGGGAGGGAGGGAGGGAGGGTGGGATTGGAAGGGAATAAGGGAGCGGGATACAGCTGGGATACAGAGTTAATAAAATGTAACTAATAATAATAAACAATAAAAAAAAAGAAGCCTTAAAAAAAAGTCAGGGGCGGGGAGGGGAGGGCTCAGTGGGGAGGGGAGGGACGGGACGGGGGTGGGGCGGGGCGGAGCGAGGCGGGGGCGGGAACACGGACAGGCGCGGCTTGTTTCTCACGTGCTTCAGTGGCTTTCCGGTTTCCTCAAGTTATACTTCTCTCACTTCTAACGTACAATGACTGCACCAAAATTAGACAAAGGAATACAACAGAGAGGCTTTGCAGCGACTCCGTCAGGCCAACCCGGAGTAAAGAGCTTCGCCACCCAAGGCCAAAATCTTAGGCCTCTCCAGCTACGGAGATGGGGCGCCAAAACCCAGGCCCCGCCCTTCCGGCATTAGGCCCGGCCCTCCTTGCCCCGCCTCCTACGCACGCCCCGCCTGCTCACTCAGCCCCTCCCCTCACGCACGCCCCGCCCATACCCGGGTTCCGCTACAATAGTGAACGTTCAAAGCGCCCGAACCCGAACTTACGGACATGGCGAACCAGGTATGGAGGCGCGCTGGGGGCCGGAGCGGAGGAGGGGAGCGCCGGAGTGGGACGCTGCCGCCCGCCGGAGATGGCGAGCGCAAGCCGCAGCGAGGGCAAGGAGGCTTTGTTTCGGCTTCGCGCTTGGAGAGCAGCTTTGCTTTTGCCCTGGTCCGCCCGAGCCGGTGGGAAGAGACCCCGCCCTACTCGCGGGACGGAGTAGTTTGTCCGTGACGCACTCGCAGGATGGCGGAGCTGGAGCACCGGTTGCTCTCAAAACTACCAAGCAAAGTTAATCTCTTCCTTCGGCCTTCGCTTTCTGTGCGCAGCACCATGTGCCTGTTTCTTTAAATCACGTTGTTGACTCTCAGTTCCATCTCCCATTAGCCCAGTGACTTGCAACCTTTATTCTGTCAACACATTTCATAAGCATCAAGTGAACTGATCAAAACCCAACGTTCCGTGGTAAGGAGGGCCTGTACAGAGTGTAATCGCTGATAGCACATTGCTCTAGATGCACGGTGTAAGTTGCATATGGAAATTTAAACTTTTCAGGAACCACATTAAAAATACATAAAATTAGTTCTAATGGTATATTTAACCAGCCTAGTAGTCACAACATTATTTCAACATGTTATCAGTATTTTTAAATTGAAATATTTTTCACTCTTCTAAGCTTTCAAAACTTTACACTTAATAGTCGGTCTCGGGTCCCAATGGCTAATGCATTAGCTAGAGATGGTTGTGGTATTTTTACATATTGCCCATTTGGATATTTCTTAGGATCTTTTACACTGTGCAGTTTTGCACTAGAGTGAGGTTTTATAAGCTATCCCCCCCCAAAAAAAAAAATCATTAGGACACATAGTAATAAACCTGTGATTCCTGAATTACTCGCCAAACCTACAATAGTAGGATTATGCTATTGTTCTTTGCTTGGCTTGCCTTTTGTTGTGTGGGGGATCAAATCCAGGGTATTTAAGGCAAGTGCTCTTCTACTGATCTCCTTCCCTAGCTTGGGACCTGGATTCTGTATTCATTCTTTTATCTTTCTTTCTTTCTTTCTTTCACTTCCTCCCCTTCCGCCTCCCTTCCATCTTCTACAGTTTTTAAATGTTTATTGTATGTGCCTGTGTGTATTTATATGCACCACATGCGTGCAGGAGCCTTGAGAAGCAAGAAGAAAGTACAGGTCCTGTGGAACTGGAGTTACAAGAAGTTGTGAGCACGTAGTTGCTGAGCAATGAACCTGGAGCCCTCCGCAGGAGCAGCAAGTGCTCTTAACCACTCGGCCATCTCTTCATCCCTTCATTTAAACACACACACATTGTTTTGGTCGGTGGTAGTGGTGGGGTTTGAAGCGAAGATTTGATATGGGATCTCTCTGTGTAGCCCTGGCTTTCCTAGAATTTAGACCAGGCTGGCCCCAAACTTACAGAGAGCCACTTGCCTCTGCCTGTAAGTGCTGTGACTAAAGGTCTGCCTCGCTATGCCTGGCCCTTTGATTATCTATGTTTAACTATATTATTTATATGAAACCTAAAAACCTTTCTCCATTTTACATTGAGGAAACACGTCTTTCTGTGTTGTTCACTTTATTTCTATTTCTTTAGTTTTGCCTGTGTCTGAATTTGCAGTGTGTATGAGTGTGTTTATGCATGTTCAAATGTGGACACTTGGAGTCTGAGGCTGACATCAGAGGGTCTCCTTGCAGTTGCTCTCCACCATATGTATTGAATCAGGATCTTCACTTGAACACAGAGATCGCCAGTACAGTTGCTTTAGTCAGCTGACTTGCTCTGAGGATCCCACCCCTGCTGTTTGAGTGCTGGAGTTACAGACAGGCCACTACCTCCAGGTGTGGTGCTGGGGATTCGAACTCTGATCCTCAGGCCTGCATGGCCAGCGCTTTGCTCACTGAGCCATCTCCCCAGCCCTGGTACACTCATCATCATCTGAATTGACCATGAAGTAATTATAACTTAGGAGGGTAAATGTTTACTCCCTTTTCCCCCACTTCAGGTGATCAGGTGCAAGGCTGCAGTCGCCTGGGAGGCTGGAAAGCCTCTCTCCATAGAGGAAGTAGAAGTGGCACCTCCAAAGGCTCATGAAGTTCGAATTAAGGTAACATTATGGCCAAGGTACTAGTGGAAAAGGCTCATGGGTTAGGCCTCTGGATAGAAGAGTAGACCTGAGGGCCACAGAGGATAAACCCCAAAGGGCAGTGTCAAGGAGAAGGCGTTGGAAGCCTTCCAGCTGCAGAATCTAGAAATCCTCCTCCCACTTGTCCTCCCTCATAGCAGTCCTTTCCATCTTTTTGTATTTGCTCTGAAGCTGAGAAGCCAAACCTATGGATTAGCAGGTAACCACAGTATAACATTTTATAGTTTGGGTTTATGGTGGCTTTGTATGATCCTCCCCTTTCTGCTAATCCCATAACTCACAAAGCATGGTGTAGCATTAGAAACAAAGAGTAGACATAGTCTTCAGTTTTGCTTGGTTTATTAGAGCAATAAAAAAGTGAAGTTCCCTTGCCTAGAGAGCTTTAAAATCTTCTGCCCCTGATGGACAAGGCCAGGGTCCAGTGGATTCATTAGTCCCCTGCTCCTCTCCCTCCACCATGGCTAAGAAGACACCCTAGGGAGAGGCAGAAGGCAGCATTCTCGAGAGACCTTTGACACCTTGGCGTCTCTAAAACTTTTGTTTTTGCTCTCTGCTTTCTGCTTGTGTTTATGATACAAAACTAATGCTTTAAAGTCATACCCATTGCATGTGTCTGTTTCGTAACATTCTGGAACAATGCTTCCTTCAAGGAAAGGAGACATGGTTCTTTTTTATCGTCGAGCCATTACTGTGCACACTAGCCAGTGTCCCAGGGTTCACATGCATCCAGTTGAGAAGCACAAAACCTTTTCAAGGTCCTTTTCAGCCAAGAGCTAAGAATCTGAAATGTTATGATACTTTATGTATTTCTGTTCATGCTCAGGAACTGGGCTGATTGTGCTTTTGCCAGTAAAGAAGGCAGTTTGACCTAGATAGACTAAGATGAGTAGGATGGCCAGTGACAGCTTCATCCCCGGAAAACTGCTGGCTTACAGCTAAGAGTGGATGCATAGGACAGGAGCAGCAAAGCATAAAGACAAACATGGCCTTGCCTTGAATTGCTTTGTTTCTTCAATGCTTATGTTTATATGCTACCTAAGCATAAACATAAAACTCATACATGAGTTTATATGCGCCACACGCATGCAGGAACCTGAGGAGACTGGAGAGCATTGGAACCTTTGTGAACTGCCTGATGTGGGTGCTGAAAACCCAAAACTGGGTCATCTACAAGAGCAGTAAGTGCTCTTAATCACTGAGCCATCTTTTCAGCCCCCAGATATGATTCTTAGATGGCAGAGAGAGTTCAATGAAAGACTTGTTTGAATAGAAATTGTGTATGTTAGTGGAAAGGACTCGTTTCCACTAACAAAAGCACAGGCCAGTCAGGCATCTCTCTGAAATAATGTCTTCTTAGGCATCATGGTCCCCAAGTTCAGAAGCCAGCAGTGAGATGGCCCCAGCTGTTTCCACCCTCTTGACAACAGAAGGCACAGTGCTGGTGAAGCCACCAGCTTTACCTCTACTGGCTCCCATTGCACCAGAAAGGAAAATAGCGGTGCCACACCTCCTTACATATAAATGCACCACTGTTCTCATTACCAGCACCAAGTCCACAGAGTCTAAGGATGCCATGGGTGGTAAGCACGCTAGTTCAGGAGAAGTGAACCTATCAAAGAAATGTATCTACAATGAAGCCCTGAAGCACGGTGCCTTTTACTCGACTTACATCTCTGGCTGAGTGCACGTACTTACATGCTTTTCTGAAATTCCCGATAGATCATTGCCACTGCTGTTTGCCACACTGATGCCTATACCTTGAGTGGAGCTGATCCTGAGGGATGTTTCCCGGTGATCTTGGGACATGAAGGTGCTGGAATTGTGGAAAGCGTTGGTGAAGGGGTCACAAAGCTGAAGGCAGGTAAGGAAGGCATTTAAAGCACTGTGATGGTTTTGGCTTGTTTCTGTAGGGATGTTACATCGATTTATTTACAACTATACAGTAGTCAAGGTTAGTTTCACGCCTTATCTTGGAAGAACAAGTATTTGTGTTGATTTTTCCTCTGATTTTGCAGGCTGCTTTTCACTTGAAACTTTTAAATACATTATCAAAAGCAAATTTGGCAAGTTAAGTGTCAATTTTTAGAGATGCATCAATGAGTTGATGTTTTTCAAGCACATTGTTATCCTCCAATAATTTAGAGTTTCATTTTTAGATCAAGAACTTTGAAGCGTACTTTTTTGTGCATGGCTGGTCAGTGACTAAACCATGCTCTTTAGATAGTGTTTCTCAGCCTTGAGGTTGTTTCTTCCAGAGTGTGTCAGCTGATGAGAGTAAGAGGCCTGCTGTGTTCACTTAGAGCACTGGTTCGCAATCTTCCTAGTGCTGCCACACTTAATGCAGCTCTGATGTTACTGTCACCCTGACACATAAAAGTGTTTCACTGCTACCTCATAACTGTAACTTTTCTACTGTTACCTTAATGTAAATAATTGATATGCAACCCCTGTGTAAGGGTCATTCAACCCCTAAAGGGGTCACGACCCACATGTTGAGAACCACTGACTTAAAGCCAGCTACACCATTCAGGATAATAACTTCACATTTGCTTCTCAGGTGATACTGTCATCCCACTTTACATCCCACAGTGTGGAGAGTGCAAATTTTGCCTGAATCCTAAAACAAACCTTTGCCAGAAAATAAGGTTAGTATCTTTTGATATGTTTTAATGTATTATATAGCTCTTTAAAAAAAAAATTTAGAGTGTGTGCCTGTGTGTGTGCGCGCGCGCCTGTGTCTGTGATACCTGCAAGGGCCACAGCAGGACATCAATGAGATTCACTCTCACCTACTTCCCCACCCACCTTCAGGTGCATTGTGTGACAGTTTTCCTGGAGAGACACAACATGTCTATTCATTCCAGATAGGAAGCCCACCACAGACTAAAGTACAGGTAGCACCTAATCCAGCTTGGTGAACCATGAACCATTTTATTGGGATTGCTTACAGGAAGGTGGGTGAGGGTTTACTTAAAGGAACAGAAATACTCAAAAACAGCCACATCAGCTTGTGCTTACTTACTGCACCAAGGTCATCTCAAATGGCCTTCAAGAAATTAAATCAGGCCAGTTGGAGGGTCCACAGCACTGAAGCTGTAGCAATTTTATTGAGAGCAATCAGGCATTTTATACCTTTATCAGAAACAATATACTGGCAATTGCCATTATACAATGTAGTTGAAAGCTATATAAGGAACACAAGATTAATATCTAAGATCAGTTGTTCCCTGAAGCTTCCATGCTTCCTTGACTACTACGGAAACATACAGAGAAACATTCAATACCTGAGGGAGTGCATAGGTCTCTCAGGAACTGGAAGGCATGTTGTGCTTCAGGAGCCATGAACTCTAATCTAAAAAACACCTAACATATTTCTCCCAGGACTGCTAGGCCAAGCCACCTCCATGGTTCCCTGCAGCTACAGACCGCTCAACAAGTTAGAGAGAGTCCTTTCCAAGTGACTCTAACCTAAACCTCTTCCAGACAGCTGCTCTGGTCTCAGAGGGTTCTTTGCAGTTCAGCTCTCTTATCTCAGGAGGACTCTCAGCTTTTATTGATTACTGTGGCAGGGAGAGGCCTAGTGAATCTGGCCAGTTTCAGGGACTTCCTGGTGCTCTTTTGAGTTGCTTACCTTCCTGCCTAAGGAGTTTCTCTGTAGAAAGAAATGTTTCAATCTTACAGAAAACTGTTACAAGTTCCCCACCGCATACCTTTGAGCCAGGGTCTCTTGCTCAAACTGAAGCTCTCCATTTCAGCTGTGTGGCTGGCCTGCAAGCTCCAGTGTGAGCCTGGCTCTGTTCCTCCTTCCCTCAGCACTAGGGTTAAGCATATGGGGTCATGCCTGGTGTTTCACATGGGCTCTGCACTGTGAACTCAGGTTCATGACTTGCACAGTAAGTGCTTTTAACTGCTGAATCACCTCCCCCACCCTCTTTTAATACAGCCTTATAATAAGAGATCTCATTAGCACAAACTATAGTGCCAGAGAGATGGCTCCATGATTTTAAAAACACTTATGCAAGCTGCTTTTCCAGAGGACCCAGGTTTGATTCCTAACACTGACATGGTAACACACAACCATCTGTAACTCCAGTGCCACGGAAATTGATGCCCTCTCAGGGCACCAGGCACACACATTTTGTACACACATGCAAAACACCTGTACACATACAAAAAAAAGGTAAGATCTCAGCAAGTAATTGTGTTGTGATTTAAACAGCACATTTTACAGGAGTTACTTAATTTTGTCTTTAAGGCCTTACTATCACTGTTACTAAGCTCTGTCTTTTCAAGGATGAGAAAATTAAGACTCAGAAATCTCAAAGTTTGCCCAGTATCGCCAGCCATTAAGATATAAAACAGAAGCTTGTTATCAGGCATGGTAGCCCACACCTTTAATCTCAACACTCAGGAAATAGAGGCAGGAGGATTACAAATTTGAAGCCAGCCCAGACTACAGATAAACAGCCTTGTTTCAAAGAGCTAAACAGGGGAGTGGGGGGGAGGAGTCAAATTTTCTGACTACATTCTCTTCCTGTAACAGCTTAATTTGGAAGGAAAGATGTGTTTGGTTTTTGTTTGTTTGTTTGTTTGTTTTTTTTAAGTGAAATGAAGTCCTTATGAGATGTTTTACCGTCTGCCAAATCAGAATAATAAAAGTTACCATATAAGGGAAATGTGAAGCCTATAGGGCATAACAATCCCCTTGATGCAGAAAGGGTGGTTCTGTTGTAAGGTATGTCACACCACTTGAGGACCCTCTGAGGCCATGTAGATCTTGTTGGTCGCCTTTTTTATTGAGGTAGAACATACATCAATACAGTACTCATGGTGTGCAAAGAGTAAATGTGCAGCCCAGTGAGGGTTTACCCTCACACACACCTCCTGGGCAGACCCTTCTGCAGATGCAGCCAGAGAACCCCACCAACCAGCACCCCTTTGTGCCCCACATGTCCCTTCCACATTAGTACCTAATTCCTTCAGAGGTCCCTAGAATCCTGGTAGCTTTCCCTGGAGAACTTCGTAGTTTGATCAGGAGGCGTCTGCTGTCAAGTGTCTTCCGTTCGTGTCTCTGAGCAGTGTCCACGTTGCTATGTGCATGTCTGCTTTTATGTTGCTCTGTCATACTCCACTCCAAACACCAGTGTTTGTTCACTTGCCTGGTGGTGAACTCCTTCATTGTTTTGGGTTGGGTGTGTGCGCTGCTTTCCCTTGGTGGCTTCCTGGGATTTGGTCAGCAAAGGTGTGAGATGTACACGTGCACAGCTCTCCGTTTGTGTATTTACTTGTAGACATTTCAAAGGGCTTATCTGAGTGTTAATTGGGTTACTGTGTTTATTGGAAAGGATGAATGTTGGGGCTGAGAAGGGGGCTCAGGTGGGAAAATTCAGATCCCCAGAAACCACTGCAGAGGCCAGGAGCTGGCTGCAGAGGCCCAAGTGTGCGATCCCAGCGTGCCCCTCAAGAAACTGGAAGAGGAGACACAACAGTCCAGAAGCTCAACTCACTCAGCCTGGTTAACACAGTAGCAAAGAGACCCTGTCTCAAACACAGTCGAGAGGCAACGAAAGTAATGTTATGGTTGGGGTCACTACAACATGAGGAAGTGTATTAAAGGCTGCAGCATTAGGAAGGTTGTAAGCCACTGCATTAAAAGTTAGGGTTTGGTTTTTGTTTTGTTTTGGTGTTGTTTTATGATACTTTTCTGAGTATTTGTTGGTCATCATTTTTAAAACTGGTATTTTTCTTTCCTCTAAAGCTAAGGAAATGAGTCTTGCTTTCCATTTTTCGTTTTCCTTTTTCTTCTTCTCCAGAGTCACTCAGGGGAAAGGACTGATGCCAGACGGTACTAGCAGATTTACCTGCAGAGGGAAGCCTGTCTTTCATTTCATGGGAACCAGCACATTTTCCGAGTATACAGTTGTGGCTGACATCTCTGTTGCTAAAATTGATCCTTTGGCACCTTTGGATAAAGTCTGCCTTCTTGGTTGTGGCATTTCAACTGGCTACGGTGCTGCTGTGAACACTGCCAAGGTAAGGACTGGGATCCTATGGCTGGCTGGTAAGGGTGGGACTCCTAGTGGGGTACTTACAGACTGTCTTTGATTGTAGGTGGAGCCTGGTTCTACCTGTGCCGTCTTTGGCCTGGGAGGAGTTGGATTGGCAGTGATCATGGGCTGTAAAGTGGCTGGTGCATCCCGGATCATTGGTGTCGATATCAATAAAGATAAATTCGAAAAGGCCAAAGAATTTGGAGCCTCTGAATGTGTTAACCCCCAGGATTTCAGTAAACCCATCCAGGAAGTACTCATCGAGATGACGGATGGTGGAGTGGACTACTCCTTTGAGTGTATTGGCAACGTAAAGATCATGGTGAGCATGTGTGCCTTCATTCTTTCTGTGCTTAGAGTTCTTTTTTAAAGTGCACCTTCCTTAAGTGTAAAGTTTAAGTTTTAGAAGGAAGCTTTAATAGGACTTAATTTTAAAGAGAGCAGGGGATGGAAACAGCTGCTTGTACTACTTAGAACTACTTGAATGGGAAATGATAGAAGAAGGGCTCAGGGAAAGATGAACAGAAAAAAATGTTTCTTTGCCTTTGAGTGCACATTGACTGCTTATCTCATGAAATGAAAAGTTAGGCATGAGCTTGGAATCAGATATGCACGCACGTCCCTGACAGAGTGTCCTGATGCAGTCTTCAACAGCATGTGGCTAACATTTTTTTTATTTGTTTGTGGGTCTGAGTGGTTTGCCCACATGTATGTATGTGTACCACATGTGTGCCTGATGCTTACAAATCGAGAAGAGGGCATTGCACCCTGGAGAGCTGGAGTTAAGGAGCCACCTTATGGATGCTGGGATCCAAACCCCAGTCTTCTGTAAGAGCAGAAAGTGCTGTTAACTGCTGAGCCATCTCTCCAACACTGAAATCTTCAGTTTTAGTTTTGAGTTGGCGTTTACTTGTATTTCTAAACTGATCTCTTAAAAGCATAAAACTTGTACATTTTGTTGGATTACCTGGTAATAATCAATCCCTAGAGTACTGTTTCCATGTGGCTAAGCATATTTATCATCTTTTATGGGGGAAACTTTCAAGATCATGTAGCTTTGTTAAGTAGCAGTAAACACGGGTCTGCTCCATTCTTGTTTGGCCAGAGTCCCCAGTTCTACCTGATCCACTCCATCAGTCTCTTCGTACCTCTCAGGAAGGAGTTTTTCTGGCAAAGAGAGTTTATGTTAGAGAGGAGTTATTCCTAGGAAGCTTAGCTTAAAGTTGGTGATGAGACCACCATGTGTGATATTGGGATGCTTCATGATGTACTGGCATGTCTTCAATTTGCTCACCTGCGATGTGTCCTCCCTGCCTGACAGTCTGACTTGGGAGATGAGCATGATTTGGTTGTGAGGACTGGGTGTTGACTTTTAGAAGTGGTGCCATGAAAATGTCTTCTCATCAGGTAAAAAGTACAAACAGCATGGTTCTTCTCATGGTACCCCTGGCTCTAATCCAAACAGTGTTCTAGTCTCATCTAGTCTCTAGTATTTCATTGTCAGGATGAACCTCTAGACTCTCCTCCTGAGCCAGCCTTCCATTGCAGCTCAGTCTGTCTTTGGAGCTGATATGTTCACTCATGCACACAGACTGGATTTGCTGAACCCTTCCTTTCCCGTCCTGTCTTATGAGAACTAATTTGCATCCCAGGGCCTGCACTCTTGAGACCACACTCTCAACAGCTCCTTTCTTACCACCTTGGCCTTCACATTGTCACAGGCTCTTGCAGAGCTGCTGTCATTTGGACCTGCTCCAAGGTTACTGAGCACTGGTAAACATTTTCTTCTCTCCTTTCTCTGTGTGTTTTTCCTTCTGTTCCAGAAACCATTATCCATGCCAGAGTCCAAATCCCCACCTGCGCCATCTTTTTTGTTTGTTTGTTTTTGAGACAGGGTTTCTCTGTGTATTTAGCATTGGCTGTCCTGGACTGGCTTTGTAGACCAGGCCGGCCTGAAACTCACACAGATCTGCCTGCCTGTCTCCCCAAGTGCTAGAATTACAGGCATGAGCCATCCTTAATTGCCTACTCTCCTCCCTTGTCATATAATTCCCTTCTGTTGGAATCAGAATCTCAGAAGCTTGAAAAATCTGTTTAAGCCTTTCTTCCTCATTTGTATTCTCTACTGGCCTTTTCTAATTCTTTCTAGATCGCATTGGGTTTGACCATTGCCACCCCCCCCCAAAAAAAAAAAAACATAGTAAGTGGTTTTCTTTTTCTGTTTTGTTTTACTTTTTGTTGTTCTTTTTCGAGACAGCGTTTCTCTGTCTAGCCTTGGTCGCCCCAGAGTCACTCTGTTTGCCAGGCTGGCCTCCTTGAGTGCTAGGATTACAGGCATGTGCCACTGCACCCAGCTGTAAGTGGTTTTCTTAACCAATTTTTAATAGCTAATGAGTGAGCCGAGGCTAGAGGGGTGAACAGTTCAGACAGCTCCTGCTCCTTCGCCTATTATGGAGAATTCTAGGAAGTTCCTTTGCAGCCTTTCTGATAACTGTCATTTTTACTGGAATGAGTCGATGTGTGTAGTTTTAAGTCACGCTAGTGACTAGCGATGCTGAACAGCTTTTCTTGTGTCTGTTTGCTGTCTGTGTCTGATTTTGAGAAATATCTTTTTATATCCCTTGCCCAGGCGGTTTGGCTGTTTGTTATTGTTAGGTTTTTAGGATCTTGTAAATTCTGGGTGTCAGCCCATTGTCAGATGCATGGCTTACAAATGGTCTGTGTGCTTCCGGTGCACTCTTGTTTTCCAGTGCTTAGCTTAGTCCTTTTGTTTGCTGTGCTCCCATCTGTGTATTTCTGCTTTGCTTCCTAAGTTAAGATCTAATCCAAAAAACAGCTCCCTGTTCAATGGCTGTAAGTATTTCCCTTATGTTTTCTTCCGGTAGTTTGATCTTATATTCAAGACCGTTAGTAGTTGATTTTTTTATAACTCATGAGAAAGAAATGGTCTAGATCCATTCATATGCATTGTGCATATAGGATTTAAAATTAAAATAGAAAGCAAATAAAATCTTTAGATTTGTTTATTTTAATGCTGGGGTTAATTTTTAAAGATACTTGTTAAAATATAATTGCTCAATAAAATTAAAATTACTAAACATTAAGTTTGGATATTTGTTGCTCTTTCTTTAAAAGGCTCTGTGTTGCCTCTGCTCTGCTAGAGGTTTCTAGGGAAGAGGGCATTCTCAGTGTGGTTCATACATTATCGCTGTGCTTGCAGAGAGCAGCCCTTGAGGCAGCCCACAAAGGCTGGGGCGTCAGTGTGGTGGTTGGTGTAGCCGCTTCAGGTGAAGAAATCTCCACTCGTCCATTCCAGCTGGTGACAGGACGCACATGGAAAGGGACTGCCTTTGGAGGTAACACGGTGATCAATAGATTTTCTCTACCCTCTTTCCATTGTCATAATTTAAATCCCAGTCTCATTTTCTTATATTAACACAAATCATCACAGGTTATCTGTGTTATGAATTGTTTCATGAAAGACTTGAGGCCCTCAGAATCAGCCAGTGTTGACTGCTGGTACTGGGGAGACATTCAGCTTCTTCTGAAGTTTAGACCCAAACATACAGTACACATAGACCCAAACATACGATACACACAGAACAAAACATACAGTACACACAGAGCCAAACATATGATACACAAGGACCCAGACATACGATAAACACAGAACCAAACATGTAGTACACACAGAACCACACAATACAATACAATACAATACAATACAATACAATACAATACAATACAATACAATACAATACAATACTGCTTTCAACAGTAGAACAAGAGCCACGTGTGGCGGCACATGCCTTTAATCCTAGCACTTGAGCAGAGGCAGGCTCTTGAAAGGCAGAGGCAGATTCAAGGCCAGCCTGGGCTACATAATGCCTTGGGATAAAAAAAGAGAGAAAGGGAGAAAGAAAAGAAAGGAAAGAAAAAAAGAGGAAGTTAATAACCAAGAAATTGGGGTCCGGCTGAGTAAGCTGTGCCCAGGGCTTTATGTCTAGGTTTCATAGTTACCATTTTTACGCCTTTCTTAGAGAATGCAGCTACCACTTGGTATGATTAGGCTTCTTTCCAAATAATCCTGGTTTCAATAATAACCAGTACTAAGTCCTAAACTAAAATATTGACAAAACATTTTAGCAAAATTAAAAGGCTGTCCCCTGATCATTTTCCCCTAGTGTAACCCTAAGCGGCATCTAATCATTTGACATTAATTGAACTATAGATCGAAATTTGGAGAGTCTTTTTGTGGTGCTCAGCTGGAGAGAAGATACTAAAACCTATCTCATAGCCCAACTTTTTGTAAATCTTATAAGATTTCAGAAAAACTAAAGGGACATCCCAGGTGTTTTGGATGGTCCCATACTATGTTTTAAACAAGTTCTTTAAAGCCCATAAGAAAAGCTTTGAAAAGTATACTAAAAGGGGGACATGACCAAAATTCTCTTTTGTGATATACTGTTTACCTTAGATGCTGTCAGTCTAACTCTGGTTTCTATTGTCCTAGACTATTTAACTGGCACATGCTGCACATGCTGGCGAGGCAGGTGCTCTCTAATAGAATTATACTGCAACTTATTTACTTATTTGTTTTTGAGACACAGTTGACCAGATTGGCCTTGAACTTAAAATCCTTCCTACATCAGCCTCTACTGTAGCTGGCTTTTCTGGCCTGTGCCATCAGGCCCAAGTGTTTATTAACCCTACTATAAGAAAAGAACAGTAACTCTAAAATGTTTGCTTTTTCACAGCTAAGGATGTCTGATTCTTCTTCACAACAGTTTCAGAATGCCTCATTCCCCTTGCATTCTTCTTAATCTATAACTGCCTCTGTGTCACCCGGGACATGAGTCAGCATACTGTAGAAACTTGTTGCATAAGTTTTCCATAAGAATGTGATTTCTTTTAGGATGGAAGAGTGTAGAGAGTGTCCCAAAGCTGGTGTCTGAATATATGTCCAAAAAGATAAAAGTTGATGAATTTGTGACTGGCAATCTGTCCTTCGATCAAATTAACAAAGCCTTTGAGCTGATGCACTCGGGGAAAAGGTGAGTTTTCAGTTCAGCTTCATATTACAGAATCAATAATGATTTGACACTTAGGAAGGGAGGGAGGATAAAAACAAAGAGGTCAGTGGCCGTAAAAGTTCACCATTCAGGGACCATAAGATGGATCAGAGGGAGAAGGTGCCTGCTGCCAAGCCTGATGACCTCAGTTTGATTCCCACATGGTAGAACAGAAGTGACCTCCATAGGCATGCCAGGGCATGTGCACACCCAAAGACAAACACATCCGCGCAGACACACACACATACAATTCTTTTTAGTTCATCTTTGAAGTTTTACTCATATTGCTTTCCTCTCCCAGCATTCGGACTGTTCTAAAGATGTAAATACTGAAGAGAACACTGTCCATCCTGTACGTTTTCCTGTGAGTGGATAGGAACAGACTGACAGAAGATTTGCAAACTAACCGTCTTCAAAAACTACTAGAAGGAATGGCTCTAATCAAGGCTCTAATCAAGGACAAGGCATTAAATAGTCATGTTGGTTTTCTGAACTCTCCACATAAATAATTGCTCCTCATCAAGGAATATTTTAACATAATAAAAATATTTTCTGCATTTATGTATAAGTTGAACATCCTGTGCTTTTTAGGCTGCCCAGTAGTGCTGACCCAAAAGAAAGGCTGATTTTTAATTCATCCACATAGGTTTTGAGATCAGAACATTCTTTGCAAATACCTTTTAGAAAATGGATACTACCATGTATTCAGTAAATTTTTGTTAAGTTTTGTTGGCATAATTTTATTGTGCACTGTGTAAAGATTATCGTTGTATTATTCAAATGATGATTTCTCTGTCCTCACATCTGGTTGTAATCCAGGCACAATATTATTGTACTGCTTATTCTAAGAATCTCCTGTCTCAAATTTGTGTAAACATTTCCCCCCCATTTATTCTCTGATTTGTCAGTAAAACTGATCAGCCAATAACTGAGCAGTATTGATAAGGCTGGACTTCTGTTTCCAGCAAGGGGAGGAGTTAAGGGATTCAGCCAATGAGCAGAGGTCCAGGAGAGAGGATGAGAAAACAGCTGGAGCAGACAAAGCCATAAAATGCAAGCTTCTTGGGGATTTACAGTGGGAGGCAGGTAGATTAGCTTAGAGGATAAATTTAGACTGGTACTGCTCAGTTATTGTGCATAAAAAAAAATGCTGAATAAAACTTAAGTCTCTGTCTCAATTATTTGGGGCTAGCTGGGTTAGATAAAAATTACCAACTTTAAATTTCATGTGTTAAAATTTAGGCAGCTATCCTGATAATAAATGCATACTGTCATGACAACAAACCAAGTAGCCAGGTGAACCAGCCATGCCCACTCCGTGGGACTGCCTTTGGTAGAATTTTGAGAACAGTGCTGTGGACTCTCAATCAACTGAACGCTGACAGTTCCACAAGTGTGAGGTAAATGTGCTCATGCTTCTTGCAAGTAGGGGACATGCAGACTGCACAACAGGATGACCTCCCACTTAGAGAATCAGTAACTTCCCCAGCAGCCTGAAACAAGAGGCTGTGCTCTGATCGCCACAGAGCAGTGCTCAGAAGCGTGACTGTTCTCTCAGCTCTCAAATACTGATTTAAGTTTAAACAGAGCCTGAATTCCCTAGTGACAGACCCAGCTACTGATAATACAAATTCCTTCATTGTCGTATAAACTGTTGCTTTGACAGTACAGAAAGGTGTAATTTGTCCCTTTGGCCATGCAGTTCAAATGAGATCCCTGGTGTCATGGTCATATACTTCTTTCAAAAACCATAGTGCAAACAGGCTCACAAGTTCTTGAAAACAGCATCTTTGGCTTGTCACTGGAAGCCGGGTAGAGAAGGTGGAAGAATAGTAACAGGGCTAAGAAAAAGCAAGTTTACAAAAAAAAATGCTTCACCGTCAAGCCGGACATAGGGGTTTCTCTCAGCCTTCTTCACAGATGCTTCTTAGAGTAGGTAGCAATTAGCAGACCCTCAACAACTGTTCACCTTGCAGAGAGAGTAACTGGATTGCTCAACACTAAATGAGATGTATATATCACCCCTCCTCCAAGGCTCAGAGATCTTTGTGGAAGATGAGGTAGAAAGACTTAAGAACCAAGGGTGGTGGTATGATTTTAAGGAAACTTCCAGACATAACCCAGAAGTTGCACATAATGATTTGTGGCAACACAAGTTTTGCACATGCTCAAGCCAATCAAAGTCCCAGCACAAAGACAGGAAAGTGAGCACAAAATCCCATCTGTAGCTGAGTAGCCATTGCCCTTTGATTATATGCTGGGAAAAATTAAATCAGATTTAATGGCATGACGCCTGGGGTCACATCTCAGGGCAGGCCTCCACTCTGAGCAGTTGGGCAACATAAATTGGACTCAAAGGGTTTAAAAACACAAAGTTCGGTGGATAGGGAGATAAGGGTGATCTGGAGGAGGTATGGAAGAGGCATTATCAAAATACAATCAGATTCTCAAAAATGTTAAGGGATGATGCAAGGCACTGCCGGTGCACGCCCTTAATAATCCCAGCACCTGGGAGGCAGGCAGAGGCAGGTTATCTGAGTTCGAGGCCACCTGGTTGGTGGAGTGAGTTCTAGGATGGCCAGGGCTACACAGTGAAAAGCTGTCTAGAAAAACAAGTATGAGCTAAGAGTGATAGTTGAGGTTGAGGGGATTACTAAGGGAGGAACACATCAGCCGTCAGCTAATAATCATAGAGAGATGATGTACTTGTGCTTTTTTGTAAAATGTCAGTAAATGTGAATAGAATGCTAGATTTGGGAAACCCAACTTGCAGGACAAATGCAAGAAAATAGTGGGTTAAGGCAAGGAAATCAATGAGTACTAAAATCATTGCATGACCATGATATCCACACTGTTTCCTAGTAGCTCCTCAAAATTTGTTTAAAAGTCATGAGGGGAAACTCAGGGAGGGACAGACACCAAGTTATCAAACACACTGGAACACTGTGACAGCTCATGTGGGATGTAATGAATGCAACGTGACATGATTTCTTCCATCAAAATATTTCTCAGTGTATCCTCATGAGAACTAGACTTTTATATGCAACTGACGCAATTTGTTAAGTGTTATTTTCCTAAAACACTAAGGGGAGTTATTCTGGAACAAACACAACTACTGCTACATGACAGGGTGCTTAAAAGAAACCTGGGGGAAACTGAGTCTGTATATACGTAATTATGCACCAATGTTAAAACATGACTCCTTTGCTGGGATGTGGGGTACTCACTGGGAATTAAACCACAAAGCCTCTGTTAGTCAAGCACCCTATCAAGAGTTACACCCCAGCACAAATATCTGTAAATAGGGGTTGAAGCAGTAATGTGCAAAGTATAATACCCTTTGTGGACAAAGCCTTGGGTTCAATCCCAGGACTAGGTCAGGGAAAAGTATATACATAGATATATGAAGCAAAGGTACCAAAAAGCAAAAATCAAATTTTGTGTAAGATGTGTGTTTGCACTGGACTAGAGAAGAGCATAGGTGTCCTTCTCTACCACTGTGCCTTGTTCCCTCCAGGCAGCATCTCACTTCCCATTTCCCAGCTGTGCTGGCAGCCAGCAAGGCCCAGCAATCTCCCTCACTGCTGGGATTACAGGCATATATGGGACATGTGGCTTCATGTGGTTGCTGGGATCACAACCCTGGTGCTCATGATTGTCCATCAGCAAGCACTCTAACTACCAAGCCATCTCTCTAGTTCAGGTGTATCTACGGAGTATTCTGTTAATTTCAACCAAACCAGAAGTGACATAGAAGACAGTAATTTGCAATAGCAAATCCCCAGCCTTGTCTATAAATCACATAGGCACTGAGTATTATACATGTTGAAGGAGTTCTAAACTACATATCAGAGGGGAAAAAAAAGAAGAAGAAGAAGAAATGTGGTTTCTTTTCATTGTCAACTTGACTGGACTTGGGAGTCACCTAGGAGTGTAGGGAGTTTTTCCAGAGTTTTAACTGAGGTAAGAAGACCCATCCTGAATGGAGATGGCGCCATCCTATGAGCGAAGGTCTCAATACAAAGATGAAAAGCAGGAAGCCAGGCTAGCACTAGCATCATCACATCTGCTTCCTGGGAACACAAAGTGACCAGCAGGTTGATGCGCTACCACCAGGCCATTCTTCCAAGGTGCATTGTCTCTTTTAAAAACAACTATAAACCCAAATAAATCTTCTCCTAGATAGCTTTTGTTGGGTAGTGTCATAGCAACAAAAGCACTAAGACAGAGGACAGACATATTTTTCTTCTTTCAAATTATATAGGAAATGCAAGACAGGAGGAAGAAAACCAGTTTACAAGTTAAACTGGATATGTTGGGCAGAGTAGAGCTCCTGTCTATATACAAGGCCACCAGTTCAGTCCCAACCCTGACAAAAAAGAGCTAATACATTAACTTAACTGTCGTTGTGCAATGAGAAAGTAGATGTTTTTTAAACTAAATCTAGTATTTTTAATCCAGGATTAGTTTGAGATTAAACTAGAGTCCACAGTTTAAAAAACAAAACAATGAAAGCAGTCCCACCAACATGTCTAATCTTTTCACAAAACTACCAAGATTTTGTTCCAGGAGCTTTATTTTCTAATGATAGAAACTGAACACCCACCCTACTCCCATTACTAATTCTGCTGTCGGAATAGAAAATGTTTCCCTAAATATGCCATCCTCTTGGCCTTAAAAGCTCCCATGATGCAGCTACATCTCAGCTGGTGCTGGCATTCTGCTGGATTAAATACTATGCAATTATGGTACAATATTATACCTGAAAAGGTGCTCCAATGGTCATGAGTTTAGACTATGAAATTAGCCTCATTCCCATCAGTTCCCTCTGAAATCCCAACAAATACAACTAGAGTAAGTGGGATAATCATTCAAACTTTTAATCTCCCTTTACATATTATATTAACATTCATATTACAAGGCATTCCATTCACAAATATTACAGTTTGATAAAAACTTTTAACACACACACCCAGAAGTCTACACCAGCTTCAATCACTTTACTAAATCATTAAAGTCATGAAAACATTATCGTCATTCTCTTAAAGCAATAAGGTCTGAGGCACTCTGGGAAAGATGTCTTAGTATGCATCAGTGGTATCAAGTTATATTACAATAAAGTCACAAGACACCTGGTAATCAAGGATACCTCATGACAACTGTATGATCTGGTGTGTCTCCACTGCATACACTCGTATTTGAACAACCCCCAAGGAGCACAGATTCTGGGCACAGGTCATTTTCAATGAGGCTCTCAACCACCCAGAGGTGAGGTGCATTTGCAACAAAGGATAGCAGCATATCCATATTGAGTGTTTACAGTACTGCAACAAGTTCCTTTCTCACTGCTGTTAGTTTACTGTATATTAAAACTTATAGCCACCCATGACTATGCTGACTCCTGGGGACATTTTGGAACTCTCCCCATCACCTGCCACAGGACAACTGCCACTCTGTTCTAAGAACTCCAGAGGTGTACCCTTAAAGGGAGCTTCTTCCCTCTCATTTCTGACCAAAAAGACATCTGAAGTAGCAGTGTACTGTGAGGTTACTCTGCGGCTGCCAGCCACCACCTGCCGCTCAGCTATTTTACCAAACACCAGACCTTACAAAGTCTGATAACTTCCAAGTGACTCTTAGCATCCATTCACTGGCACATGGTCCACACTACACGGAAGTGTTCCCTACACACATACAAGGATAAATAATTAGCATGGGGGTGAGAGGAGGCCAATTCCCAACTAGGAATTAATCCCTAACAAATTATGGATCCGTTTATGACAGCACATATCCTGTCAAATCAGAATCAACCCAGACCACAGGTCATATAGTGTTCAGTAATTATGTATATGGAATTTAAAATGTATGCATATATATTTCCATATATATCAATATATAATAAAAAATCTGGAGCAACATGTTGCTAAAGTTTCAAGATTTCTCATCTTCAACATTCTCCTGTAAAACAGCTGGCCCTTGGCGGCTGGTCTATGGCAGTGACAAAGCAACGAGAAGCATGTTTAGTCAAAGTGCTCAAGGGGCAAAGAAGAAAACACAGTACAGAGAACTGGGGGTGAGGCCAGGGACTGAAGGAAGTAAGCAATGTTTCCTTTATTCTTCTCAGCTTTTTCAGACCCAAAAAAATGCTCTTGAGGACACACACCAAATGCTGTAGTCCATTCTTATCCACAGTCAAAACAAAACGAGTGATTAAAAAAGAAAAAAGAAACCTCTTCATTTCTGTACTTTCAATAAAATGCACAGTACAAGATGATGTTCAGATGTTAGGCATCTTGAGAGGAATTAAAACTGGGACATGAAATGAGGCCGAGAGCTATCAAGTCTCCGAGTGAGAATTTCACAGCCAGTGTCCGTGACCAGCAGGGTGTGCTCAAACTGAGCAGATCGCTTTCCGTCCCTTGTCACTGCAGTCCAGCCATCTGGCCAGGTTTCATCTTGCCATCCACCTTAAACAAGCAAAAACAGTTGCTTAGTTTTTTTCATTCACAGTCTCTCAGAGGAAATAATAAGTCAAATTCACTATTAAGACCCCTCTTAATACGTTGTTCTAGCTAAAGCTTTTCCAACTTCATTCCCATCTGTAGCACTAACAAAATAACATTGTCTAAACTTGTTCAGTGGAGCGATTTGATAACTTTTCTATTTCTCAATATCAAATCAAGATGGCGTTTCCAAAATAAAGGCATGAGACTTTCTTTCAGCAAACACATGGAAACTCCTCCCACAAAATTGAACAGAAACTTAGAACTGACAATTTCCAGAACAACAGACTGAACTATCCCAGTGTACATAATGAACATGAGTTCCTGCACAGCTATGGCATGACACTCCTGAAGTAACTGTAAATAAATGGCAGGCACACAATCAGAGGGTGAGGACAGATTATAGCATAAAAATTTAAAAACCAGACAAAGAGGGGCAAAGAAAGAAAAATAGGGTTTTTGAAGACTAAGAAAAATATGCAGGCTGAGGAGACAGCTGAGTTGACAAAGCCCTTCCCTTAAAAGGGTAAGGACCCGAGTCTGATACCTAGCACCCATGTAAAAAGCAGCAGTCTCTGGGGCTTGTGGCAGCCAGGCTAGCCTAACTGTCAAACCCACGTCCCAGTAAAAGACTTAGTTCAAAAACAAAGTGGAGGGGTCCTGAAAAACAGAAGGTAGGGTTGACCTCTGGTCACTAACGCACATACGAATATTCACACCTGGAGGATCTGGAAAGGCTGTGCTTCAAAAGACGCCAACAGCACTGACACGCTGCCCTGCTTAAACCCAATAAAGAAATGGCAGAAGCATTTCCCAGTTGTAATCTGATAAATGCTCGTAACAAGCGCACCATGAGAGCCCGAGCCCCCACAGACGATCATGAGAGATTAGTGAACCTGTGCTGTGCTCCCTTGTGATGCTGCAGGAAACCACACAAGTGAGAGCTCATCAGTCTGGCCAATTCTGCCACATGAGCAGCTATGAGAACTAGGCAAGTTACACTCCTCAAGGATCTGCTTACTCTTCTAACACCTCTATTAACTGGAATTAACCTGTATAACTGTGCCTCCTCTTCCCCCTTCATCTACATCAAGCAAAAACTTCTACAAAGGCTTGACATAGGATCTTGCTGTTACAACTCATCCTTTGATAAGATCTTTTGGAATAGGCCCAAAATTCAAGTACTTTATATTTACGAACAATAAAAGAATCCACTACGTTAAACTATGATCTTGTTAGAAACCCCATATATTAACAATCATGATGTAATTGGGAGCCAGGTGGTGGTGTATGCCTTTAATCCCAGCACTCAAGAGTCAGAGGCAGGAGAATGTCTGTGAGTTCGAAGCCAGCCTGATCTACAAAAGCGAGTCCAAATTAGTCAGGGCTACACAGAGAAATCCTGACTTGAAAAACCAAAAAAAAAAAAAAAAAAAAAAAAAAAGATGCACTAGAAAGAATGTAGCAAAAGGAAGCAAACAAAATCAGATACTGATTTGATTTGTAACCAAAACTAAAAACAAATATTCAACAAATGTTCAAGGTCTGCCAAGACAGGAAAGAAATGCTGACAACCTAAATTTGATTCCTAGGCCACAGATGGTAGAACCAACCTCCACACGCTGCCCACCCTCTACATACTATGTGCACACTTGCAAAAATTAAATACATAAAAATTTAAGAGAAAAAAAAATGCTACAAATTGTGGTGGTTTGAATATGAATGGCCTCTATAGAATCATGTGATTGAATGCTTGGTCACCAGGGAATGGTACTCTAAGGAAGCATAAAGTAAGTGTGGCTTTGCTGAAGGAAGTATGTCAATAGGGGTGGGCTTTGAGGTTTCAAATGGTCAAGTTATGCTCAGTGTCCCTCTCTTCTTGCAGCCTGCAAATCTGTATATAGAACTCTCAGCAACTTCTTCAGCACCATGTCTGCCTACACACCAGTGTTCCCTGCCAAGACGGTAACAGATTAAAACTGTGAGCCAGTAAGCCAGGCCCAATTAAATGTTTTACATGAGAGTTGCTGTGGTCTTAGTGTCTCGTCACAGCAATAAAACACTAAGAGACAAAAACAGTATAGGAACATGCAAACTCACCTTCACAAATCATTGGCTCAATTGTAAACACATGGCCCGATTTCATCACACCAACTGCCTTATTTTCTGAAATTAAAGGAAAAAGTCTCAAAAGACACCAAAACCCAAACAGCACTGAACTGAACAGCTCACAAGACCACAGGACTCCCCTTCATTACTTTCCCAATTTTCTCACCGTCTGTCATTCAGCAAAGAGGCTATCACCAGTAACCACCTGGTGATACAGGGATGTCCACAAGCTCCATATATAATCACCATTAATTAACATAAAAACACAATCTTTTGTGCTAATACAAATTAGAAAAGGCAATCACTGCTGGGTGTGGTGGAGCACAACTTTATTCCCAGTACTCAGTGGTGGTGGCGGGAGTGGAGGGGAGATAGTGGAGATGTTGGGGTGTTATTGGTTATCAAACAGAATGCCATCACCCATCACTTTATGGAAGTTTGAGTGACATGTATAATATACCGGAAGTCTCTCACCTCTTTGGTTAAGGGGAATAAGTTTCTATAAAGAGATGATAAATAGGCACAGATATAGTTACCTGTATCTATCAAACAGAAAATGTTAAGAATTCCTAGCAGGGCACGGTGGGACACACCTTTAATCCCGGCATTCAGGGAGGCGCAAGCAGGAGATCGCTATGAATTTGAGGCCATCCTGGTCTACAAAGCAAGTCTAGGACAGCCAGGGCTACACAGAGAGACCCTGACTCAAAACAACAAAGCATTCCTATGTGGTGTTACAGAAAGCAAAGGACATGAAGGAATCGAAAGCTGTGCTGTCTGATGCTATCAGAGCAACAGAGATGGGTTTTAAATGTAAAAAAGTGCAAAATTAAAAAATTAAAACAGTAGGCATTATGTATCTCAATAGCTTATATAACTTTCAATATTGGGATACATGAGGTATGATGTGTCCTTAAGGATACAGGGTTAAAATCCCACTGGTTACTTTTAAGACAGCTCCTACAAGTGACTACCTGCTAATATTCCTGTTTCTGCCACTCATTCATTATTCATTAAAAAGAGCTCTAACTTCTACTACTCATGTCATAGAATACTGAAAAAAAAAAAAAGTTTTAGTTTTGTTAACAACTCACTCAACAAACAAAGGTTATCTGAGGGGTTGTTTAAAATTTACTATTGCCATGTAAATTTTAAAACTTGAGCCAGACGTGCATGTCTTTAATCCCAGCACTTGGGAGGCAGAAGCAGGCAGATCATGAGTTCCAGGACAACCAGGGCCACAAAGAGAAACCTTGTATTAAGAAAAGAAAAAAATGAAAAACTTGTACCTACTGTACTGTTAGGGTAAATAAGTCAGGTATACATGTAAACACAGGGCACTTCCATTACTGTGACTTGGAAACATACCAAATGTGGAAACTAACATATTGCTTCCTGTTTCAGTCTTCTACTTTTTAAAATAATTTTCATTTTTATTTTATGTGTATGAGTATTTTGCCTACATGTATGTCTGTGTAGCACCTATGGGCCTGGTACTCGAGAAAGCCAGAAAAGGGTATCAAATCCACTGGACCTGGAGCTACACACAATAATAAACTGCCATGTGAGTGCTGGGAATCCAACCTCGACCCTCTGTAAGAGCTGCCAGTACTCTCAACCATGTCTCCAGCCCTGTTTTCTTTCTTATATTTAATATGAAACTTAGGTATCTCTGCTATATTACAACTGACTCACCTCCTCCCACAAATTTTACTATCTTCAGCCTTACTAATTCATACTTAAATCAGTTTGTTGCCTCTACACTTGGATTACTCTCTCTCTAGTCTCTTACACACAGCCCTTATGATGAGACTAGCACTTCAATTTAGTGACTGGAATGGACACTCAGCTTACTTCAGGATTTAACATACACAAATAAAGTTGCTAGCTGTTTTCCAGTGTTTGTATCTTCTTTCCTTCTCTTCCCTTTTCCTAACATCACAATGATGTGGTCTACAGGTGAGTGCTGACTGATACCCTGTGTGTTGTCCACACAAAGCACCACTCCAGCTTCCCCACTACACTCATTCTTCTTCAGAGGCATGAACCTAGAAAACAGCTGGCCCAAAGCATCAAGGCCCATGAGCAGCGTTCACTATGTGACAACCTAGACACCACAGCCAATACAGTCTTATCACCAGCTTCACGGCATTCATTTGTGCACATATCTGTGTACTGTTTCCTTTTTTAAAAGCTTCATGCCAGGTCCACACTTCTGAACGATGCACTGTGGTCACACTCTTCCCTACTACCCCCTCTAGCCTGGTTTCTCTTCTCCTTTCTTCCTCAGATCCCATGTGAGCAGTCAAGAGTTGCTGTGTGTTCATCATTTCAACTGCTGAGTCATTCCTAGGTAACAGCACCCTCCCAAAATATTCCTAAAAATTCCTCTATGTGCAAGAAGAACCCCATATTTTATTCCTCAGACTGCCTGTTCCTGACACCTCAAAACAACCTTCAGCCAAGCTTAGCTTAGGTCTCAGCTCAGGACTATTCAGAACCCCCCCTACCTGCAGTGCTTTCTCATCTCTTCCACCACACCAAAACCTCAGCCATGCTTTAGGTAATCCCCAGGACAGTCATCAACTGTTTCATTTCTCACTGTAAGAAGCATTAAATACGAGAGAAAAGACCTACTCCAGAGTCAGAGAGAACCCGCGTCCCAAAGGTCAGCCATGGCATTTGTTCACTTGACAGCATTAACTGTGAGCAAATGAACTATCCATGTGAGCACACAACCTGCTTTTCAAAGTATGGCTGAAAAGAGGCAGAAGATGCAGCTCAGAGGTTGTGCTTGCCTAGCAGACACAAATCCTGGATTCAGTTCAACACTGGGCCAATAATAAACAGAGCTAGGAAATGATTTAGTTTTGATGATCAAATGAGATAGTGGGTATCACCACCATTGTCATTCCAAACATCAGGTGAGTTTTTGTCTGAATGTCAGGCACATTCTTTGCTTCCCAGTATCAATGAAGTGAACAACTCGTGGAGGTTATCATTCCCTACTACCATACAATGAGAAACTAATACAAAGATATGAGTGCTTTCAAAAAAGTTCGGAAGAATGCATTTAAGTGCATACACGCATGTATGCTAAATTCCTTTCCTTGCTCATTTATTTTGATGGACAGCTCTCATTCCTAACACAAAATAAGACACATTTCACAAATGGCTAATCTTCCAGAGACAAGATCTCTAAGACTTTCTTTCTTTTTCTTGCACACCACTCTCAACTTAAAATTAAGTACCTTATTCTCCTTTATTAAACCAATAAATAATACATGAAGAACTCCCAGCAAACCAAGTAAGATGCACTGATTTTACCTAAGGAATTAGAAGGGTGAGAGCAAGACTTATTATAGGAACACTACTTACTGATTGCCAAAATCGATTTAGGTTTCTCCCAAAGAACTCAATTAGATTACATTTCCTATTTCCTTTGCAGTTAGATATAATTGACTGAATTTCTGCAAATGGAAGCTAATACAGATGATTTACGCCAGTCCCAGGCTGGCTGACTACAATTCCCAAGCAGATCCTTCCAAGCATCTCTGCTCCTGACACACTACATGCTGAACAGAACATAATACCAGAGTGACCTGAAAGGATTAGTTAAAGACAGCAGAGCCTGGACCACCTCTTCCTGGCCACACATCTGCTGTCGCTGTCATGTGAGGAAGGCGTAAGCGTGACGTTATGTTTGAACAGGTGAAATTGGGAGGAAAAGGAATGTATTCACAGCTTATACATTACTTCAGTCAAGAGAAAGCAGGAGGCCCTGACTTATACTTGAGTATTTGTTCATAAACAGAAATAACCAAGTATCTGAACAGTACTCACTGGCATAGTGTGGTACATTGGGAGCTGTATGGAAAAGTTTGTGGATTCCATGCCCACAATAGCTTCGAACAACTGAGAATCCATTTGCTTGGGCGTGTTTCTGAATGATGTTCCCCAGTTCTCGGTATCGAACACCAGGCTTCACTGAAAGGAAGAGAAAAGACCTGTGAGGAAAAGCAGCATTTAACTAAGCAGCTGGATTCCTTGTGGCAAGGAGGACCTTGGTAAACACTATGCCTTCATGCCTGACTCTACATACGAGGAAATGAAGGCCCAGGGAAATCCAGATGCCCAGTAAATGCCAAAGCTAATTCAAAAACAGGAACACCTCCTTTAATAAAAAAAGAGGAGAACACCAAAGGGTCAAAAAAAGCACCTTTTGTTTTCTCTAAAACACTAAACAATACAATGGAAACATGTTTTTTAAAAATCTCTTTCACTAAGGATATATTAGTCAGGGTCCTCTAGAGGAACAGAACTTACAGAATGAAGAAAGCACACACACGCAAACACACACGCAAACACACACACACACACACACACACACACACACACACACACACACACACGGGGACTTATTAGAAGAGGTACCAACAATGACTGTCTACTAACAAAAAAGGTCCAGGAGTCCAGTAGTTGTTTAGTCCATTAGGCTGAGTGTCTCTGCTGATCTGCAGTATATGCTGGAGTCCCCACAGAGGTAGGCTCTAACACCAGTGAAGAATGAACTTACTAGCTAGGCAAGGCAAAGGCAGAGAGAACTTCCTTCTTCCATGCCCTATAGAATATAAATCTATATTTATTCTAGAGAATAAATACAGAGAATATAAATCTTCCCCATATAATCAAAGGTCTGAGTAACTAGCTAAAGGAATATTTTAATCAAAAATTCTGAATTTTTCTTTTTCAGTAATTTTTGTCAGTCTCACCCAGGACTGCAGTCTGGGAGAGGTGGTGGATACACAACAAAATTTCATGCCACAATGCATAGTACATAATGAAACAAATCCTCATGCAACAATAAAGGCAGAGGAAGCAATGGGGATTCTTTCCCAAATAGCCAACTGGAGACAACCTTGACCCACAGATCCTATCTGGAGACATTTTGGTTACATAAGGGAAGAGTGTTGGTAACTCACCAGAGATAAAGTTAAACAACTTAAAATGAAGTTAAAATATTAACAAACTCACAATAACAAGATACACCCTAGATTTCTACTCTGGAAAGTAACTTCAGCTTCTGGTCAGTGCCTGCCACGTTCTAGCCGTGTTTCTGTACAGCACTCAATATTTCTGGTTATGTCAGTCATGATAGATGCAGAGGACAGAAACACTGAACAAATTATTTGGTTAAAAGCCTTAAAAATAATTGAAAACTGAAGCTCTCAAAAATGAAAATATGAAAGTTCTTGTAATATCACCTAAAACTCTGAAGTTTTTAAATCGATAGTAAGTAAACTTGGGTGGAGAACTTCCCCACACTAATATTTATCGTTTTCATTTTAACCCAAGGAGTCTTTATATGAAACAGTAAAAGCTTAATTTCTTATATCGTAAACAGTACACTACAAACAGTCAAAGCAGATCAATGTTATTAGAATTAACCATACATTCGTTGGAGGATTCCACTCAAACATGGCCAATGACACGTTAGAGCTTTGGTGGGAATAGTATGTGGTGAGAAAGATCACACACTGAGTATGAAAATTCAAAGGCTATAGAACTTTCTGGAAAATTGCTCCCGGACTAGCCTTTTATCAGTAGTCTCAAACCACAAGCACTTACTGTTCTGCCATCCCAAAACAACAACAACAAAAAAGGCCTGGACAAGTCATCTGTAAGAACCAAGACAGCCTGAGAAAGATTAGAGAAATGTACTTATTATAGGCAATGCTGTAGAAGCAGGAAACCACCAACATTCAGGACAACATAAAATCCTAACACCTATAAACTAAACAACAAAGTAAGAAAAAGAATAGCAATAATGAGCCAGGGCCAGTAAGGCAGCTGAATGGGGAAGTGCTGGCTAGCATGCACAAGGCCCTGTGCCTCCTCTCCTGTGCAGAGAAGCACTTGCTGTCGCACCCCATGACCTCAGTCCCATCCCCAGAACCCAAGTGACAGGAGGGAACCAACTCCCAAAAGTTGTCCTCACTAGCACAGTGCCTATGTGCATACATACATATTTGTAATTTTAAAAAGTATTTTAAAGGAGGTACATCGATATATGCAGGTATATAGACTAATTTAGAAGGATCTTTAAGATATTAGTTGAAGTCATAGCAAACTAAGAGATACCAAATAAGGGCTGGAAAGATGGCTCAGTGGTTAAGACCAATGTTTGCTCTTCCAGAAGTCCCAGGTTCAATCCCCAGCATCTACATGACAATTCACAACTGTCTCCAGTTCCAGGGAATCCAACACCCGCACAGAGATATACATGCAAATAAAACACCAATTCACATAAATAAAAATTTTTTAAGAGAGATGAACATTCTACAATTCTAACCTAACTAAGCATATACACTACCTATATACAGCTTCAAGTACAGCAGAAAGAGAATTAAAAAAAAAAAAAAAGACCCTATAAGTACCAAGGATACTGAAGTAAAGAGCTATGAAAAGCAAAGAGGGACACAAACATCAAGGAGGCTCCATCCCCATTCACCCAAATCCAATCCTTGCTTTTCCTATGACAACACAATGCAACTGAAAAGAATCAAAAAGAAAAATAAAGTAACAGTGCATTGAACAGTGGTGGTCTGTGGTGCGCTGCAGTACGCTGCCAGGGGTGCCACAGCTGAGGCTGACCTGCATCAATTGCTTGCATCAGGCATTCATACGTAGTCTGAACAAGCTTCCGTGCTCCTTCATCCACATCTCCAACAAAAAAGGTCTCGTTTAGATCCCCATGATAACCATTTCGATAAAGAGTGATATCCACTGGAAGGAAAGAAAAAAACAGATATAAAGCCGATGTTTGTTTATGTTTTAAAATCAAGCATAATGGCTTCATGCACTTGAATGAAAACGATACCATCTGCATCCTCAAGTTCCCAGTGAGTGTAGTGATGCCTAAGAGAAAACCCTCAGGGGAAATAACTCACTGTAGAGAACTAGAGTATGACTGTGCAGCAACAGACAGTTGTAGGCTTTTATGCTAGTAATGAGATCCTTTGTGGCAGGAGAAACATTATATAGGAAACAACTGTGTAAGATAAATAACCAGGTTAATAATTCTGAACTGATGATGTCACTTAAGTTCTGCCATTAAACAGAAAACATTTCCACTTATCTTTAGCTTGCTCTTCTTCTGCCTGGGACACAGAGCAAAGCTTACCTTGTTCTGGGTTATTTTAAAAATCTACTGGTCATTCATCCGTCCTTACCCCAGGCTTAAAGCAGATTACTCTGTGTCACTACAAGAAATTACGTGTCTATCTAGAGAATACACTAAATGAATATCGTTACATTATAGACTTCAGGCAACCTGAACCACTGCAAAGCAGACAATTCATTCCTGAAAAATGCCACATGCTGTATGAATAACAAAAAAACTAAGGTTTAGTCAGGTGTGGTATGGAGGATCTCTTTGAGTTCAAGGCTGGCAAGAACTATATAGTGAGACTCTGTTGCAGATAGATAGATAGATAGATAGATAGATAGATAGATAGATAGATAGATAGATAGATAGATAGATAGATAGATAGATAGTTACCCTATATGAAAATATGAAAATCAGGACTGATTTCAAAACTTATGAAATGTTTGTAAACAAGAGCTCTATATGAGTAAATAACAACTATAATAAAGACAACATTATATCTATTCTCTCCTACCTGTGCAGTTTCTAACATTTGGACTTTTGGTTCTTTGAATCATAAAAAGACTAAATTAATTAATAATAAAAATACCATGTGGGGACCTACAGAGATGGCTCAATGGATAAAGTGCTCTCTGAGAAAGAATGAGGATGTGAGTAACTAATCCCAGCATCCATGTAAAATGAAGTCAGGCTGGTGCACATACCAAATCCCGGAGGGGCAAACTCAGAGGATGCTGGGGATGCACTGGCCAGCCAGTCTAGTTAAAACAGTGAGAGAGCCCTCAAAAAATATGGTGGAGAGTGAGAGAAAATCACCCAAAGTTAACCTCTGGTGTCCACATAAGTGTGCACAGGTGAACACACATGCATTCAAGAACACACTCACATGCACATGAGCTTTACATTATAAATATTTCAACATATAAGTTAATTATACATATGTATACATTATAACATACAAACATCTAGGGAAGCCTATTATTTTTAAATTTTTTGTTTGAGAACTTCATACATAATGTGTTTTGATCAAATTCACACCCTATTCCTTCCTGTCTTCCATTCCCAACTTCACCTGCTGGTATTGGGGGGAGGGGTCTGTTATTTTTTTATTATCAAATTGTAATAAATGATAATTACAATTTATTCAATCTGTATCCCAGCTGTGGTCCCCTCCCTCTTCTCCTCCCAATTCCACCCTCCCTCCCTCTTCTCCCCCTAGGCCCCTACTCTAGTACACTGATAGAAGAGGTCCTCTTCCCCTTCTATCTTACCCTAGCCTATCAGGTCTCATCAGGACTGGCTGCATTGTCTTTCACTGTGGCCTGGCAAGGCTGTTCCCCACAGGGGAATGTGATCAAAGAGCCAGCCACTGAGTTCCTGTCAGAGATAGTCCCTGTTCCCCTTACTAGGAAACCCACTTGGACACTGAGCTGCCACGGGCTACATCTGTGCAGGGGTTCTACGTTATCTCCATGCATGGTCCTGGGTTGGAGTATCAGTCTCAGGAAAGACCCCTGGGCCCAGATTTTTTAGTTCTGTTGCTCTCCTTATGGAGTTCCTGTTTCCTCCAGGTCTTCCTATCTCCCCCTTCTTTCATAAGATTACCTGCACTCTGCCCAAAGTTTGGCTATACGTCTCAGCATCCTCTTTGATACCACAATCAGTAGTCTTTCAGGGGCTGTCTGTGGCAGGCTCCTGTCCTGTTCCCTCTTTTCCTGCTTCCGATGCTTGTCTGTTTGCCCTTCTAAGCGAGGATTCAGCAACTTACTCAGAATCCTCCTTCTTGCTTAGCTTCTTTAGAAGTATAGATTTCAGTATTTTTATCCTATAGTATATGGCTAATATTCACTTCTGAGTGAGTATATACTATGCATGTCTTTCTGCTTCTGGATTACCTCGCTTTTCTAGGTCCCACCATTTGCCTGCAAATTTCATGATTTCCTTGTTTTTAGTAGCTGAGTAGTATTCCATTGTGTAAATGTTCCACAATTACTGTATCCATTCCTCCACTGAGGGACATCTAGGTTGTTTCCAGATTCTGGCTATTATGAACAGAGCTGCTATGAACATGGTTGAGCAAATGTCCTTATTGTATACTTGAGCATCTTTTGGATATATGCCTAGGAGTGCTATAGCTGGATCTTCAGGAAGCACTATTCCTAATTGTCTAAGAAAACACCAGATTGATTTCCAAAGTGGTTGTACAAGTTTACATTCCCACCAGCAATGGAGGAGGGTTCCCCTTTCTCCACATCCTCTCCAGTATGTTGTCACTTGAGTTTTTGATCTTAGCCATTTTGATGGGTGCAAGGTGAAATCTCAGGGTTTCGATTTGCATCTCCCTGATGACAAAGTATGTTGAGCATTTCTTTAAGTGTTTCTCTGCCATTCTACATTCCTCTATTGAGAATTCTGTTTAGCTCTGTTCCCCATTTTTTAATTAGATTATTTGATTTGTTGCTGTTTAACTTCTTGAGTTCTTTATATATTCTGGATATTAGCCCTCTGTTAGATATATGGTTGGTGACAATCCTTTCCCAATCTGTAGGGTATCATTTTGTTCTGATGACACTGTCCTTTGCTTTACAGCAGCTTTTCAGTTTCATGAGGTCCCATTTATTGATTGTTGCTCTTAGAGCCTGTGCTGTTGGTGAGCAGGAAGTTGTCTCCTATGCCAATGAGTTCAAGGCTCTTCCTCACTTTTTTCCCTAACAGTTTTAGTGTACCTGGTTTTATGTTGAGGTCTTTGATCTACTGAGACTTTAGTTTTGTGTAGGGTGGTAAATATGGGATGTGCTAGTTTTAAACACATTCTTAGTACTCCTGTATATGCATGGACGTAGGACTATCTCAAGGACCACATCCCTGACTCTCCCACCCTCAGAATTCAGGAACCACTGTTGCTCCTCAGCTAAGAGTGGAACTTCATGAGCTTGATCCCCTCCCCCATGGTGTAATTTTGGATGGCTTGACCTTATAAATGTCCTGTGTATATGGTCACAGGTGCTATGAATTCATGTCCCTGTCATGTCCATCAAAAGCTGTTTCACTGCAGAACACAACTTCTGTCTCTGAGGATATTTTTGTCCCCTTTTCTGAAATAATCACTGAGCCTTGGCATGGGGTGGGGTGAGGGGGATGAGGGTGTGATATAGAGAGCCCATTTACAGCTAAGCACTCCAGTCTCATATATATCTCTGTATGTTGACTAGTTATGGGTCTCTGTATTAATAAAATCTACTACAAGAAGAGGTTTCTCTGATGAGAGTTGACAGCAGTACTAATCTGTGGGCATAAAGATAAGAATCAAGGGTATGGTTTATTACTGTGTCCATTTAGGAGAATGATAGTTATTTCAGGTTCTCTCCTGCAACCTATGACTTGGCCAGCCCTGGCTTTTTGGCCCAGTAACAGTATCAGGCATGAGTTTCTTAAAATCAAATCAGAAAGTGGTTGGTTACTGCCTTATTAACGTACCAGAACACATTTCTTGCCAAGCCAGTTGTTAGTGTAGCTCACATGGTTCACAGCCGGGTAAGACTTGATTACTTTCTCTAGGGGAGCTTCCTTCACTGATACTTTCCATCCCAAAGGGAAATGTTATTGTAGCTCCTCACACATGCAGTGTTTCCAAAACAGAAGAGTACAGAAATCCAAAGCCACTCAATTTTAAAAAGTCAATTCTGTGAGTTTTTCCCTTTTCTTAAGGTCTTTATTAATTACAACTGTTTCCCTAAAATCTCTTCTGAAAACCTATCATGATCTCTTCATACCTTTAGTAAATGTTGGTAAAAGAAAAAAGTATATAATGGGCTCAGTGTTACTTTTACATCAACATTGTGTACTTACCAATCACATGTAAAATAGGCTGTGAAGATATACAGGTTGTCTAGAACACAAACTAGATATATGCTGAATGCAACACACTTACAATCATTAAAAATGGGTTGGTTTCCTGCCAGGCTGGGTTCCTGCCAGCCTGGTCTATAGAGAGTTCCAGGACAGCCAAACCCAGTCTTAACCCCCCAAAATAAGGATTTCTTGCCAAGTGTGGTTACACACCCTTTAATCCCAGCACTGGGAGGCAGAGACAGTCAGATTTCTGTGTGTTTGAGACCAACCTGGTCTACAGAGTGAGTTTCAAAATAGACAGTGCTCTGTAAAGAGACTCTATCTCGGATAGATAGACAGACAGACAGACAGACAGACAGATAGATACGTGAAAGAAAAGAGAGAGAGAGAGAAGAAAGGCAGGCAGGTAGAAAGAGTTCCTTCAATTTTGAGTGACAGAATTTTAAATAGGAAAAAATCAAGTCAAGAAAATAGAAACCTGTAGGTAGTCTTTGCTACTTTATAGGTTCTTTTTCCCATCCTTTACCCCCTCCGTTTCACCCCCATCACTAGATAGGAGAGAAAGAAGGATAGAGGGGAGGGGGATAGATACCTGAATCAAATGTCTGTCTTGTTTCTTCTATGCGGAGCAGACCTCAAATCACAATCAACTCCCTGAACAACTAACAACTAGCAACACTGCCTCTCGGGACCCTACCATTAATATAGCCCCTGAAAAGTTCCCAGAATAAAATGTCACAAAATCCCACAAACAGCTTCAGCAGCTGACAAAACCATGTCTCTGCTGGAGCATGAGACAAATCATAGTCAGCTGCTGCAGAAAGTTCAAAGCAGTCCCATATCCCCATACCTGAGATTAGAATGAAGAAATATTTTTAACATTTCTGTGATCTTTAAAGAAACCAAAATCCAAAATTCTCACTATAGAAACCTCTCAACAGACTCCAGAAACTTGTTTCTTTGCTCCCAATGACAAATGTTACTCAAATTTCTTACCATTAACAATATCACCTTCTTGCAAAGGCCGTCTGTCTGGAATCCCATGGCAGATGACTTCATTCACTGAGGTACAACAAGACTTAGGGAAATTATAGTAATTCAGAGGAGAAGGATAGCAATTTCTTGCAATGCATGCCTATAGTAAATGAAAGTACAGAGAAAATAACTTGGAATGTAAAAACAAATCTGTATATAATGAATCAGATCACAAAATCTAAAGAATTTTATCATAGATGCTATTATGAAGAACTAATATCATATTTTACTTGAAAATAGTGGTGTATGTATGTGTGTGCATGTGTATGAATTGTACAAGTAAACACACACAGATAAATACCATGTTGTTGCCACCCAGAATTTCCTAGAACTTACAGGTCAAGAAACTGGGACTACAGGCATATGACGACACATGACTGGCTGGCATATATCCTGTTCGTTATCTGGCAGGCCGTATGCCAATTAAATACACTGTATGCAAAGCAGTTTATTTATGTTCATGTAAAACGGAATCAAATTCACACACTACAAATATATGCTAGAGTCATGTGAAGAGTCTACTCTGACTTAACTACTACCTATGAAACATTTTCAGTAAAAATAGCACAAATTAATAGGTACTTTTAATAATAGCGCCTTATATTAAGGCCAGCTACAACTCTATAAACAGAAAATGAGTACATGCATAATTAAGAAATGGTAAAGTGCTTTCTGCAATATTTGATATCATTACATTCCATGGACTTAGAAAACAGCTCTGTTTGAATCTTTATATAGTGGCCATCAGTGTGCTGTAAGTTCTGTGTCCTTGCTACAGCATGGTTTTCAGTTCAGCAAATAACAGCTGCCAAAACACTATTTGTGAAATAGTCCATACTTTTACTAGCAATTCCACTATTTCTAGAATCTTTAAGTAATCTGACATTCCCTCAGGTAGAACATCCTCTCACAGCAAATAACTGCATCCCTCCAGCTCTTCCTTGACATGGCTGTACTTCTCTGTAGTACCATCCTTAGGATTCAGACCTGGGGCAAGCAACTGAGGTGCCTAATTAACCAACTTGGACCTGGAGTTCTCCCAGCATCCCTCAGTCCCTACCTGAACTTCCCAGCCTATGGCTGGCTTCCTCTCCCCCACAGGCTTTTCACTATATAATCCAGACATTTTGGTTCCTTCCCCCACCCGTGCATTTCTTCTCCCCACTCCCTGCCATTTCTATCTGTCTCCCTCTGAAGGCAACTTCACTGACCCACTCCTGTGAGGTTGGTGAACTACCCCCAATAAACCTGCTGCATACTTTAATTTGGCTTAAATTGGTTCATTTCATCAGCAGAGAATAAGTATCAATCATATCAGTTTTCATCCTCTGTAAGTTATGTGACCTTGGACAATTATAGTAGCACCTACTTCCAGAGGATGCTGCCAACATCAAATTACTAAATATGAAGGTACTTTAAAGAGTACCTGACCTACAGGAAATACTCAAAATGCCTACCCATGATCCACTATTATACAATATTCAAAATAAAAAATCATCTAAGTCTACATAAAAAAAAAAAAAAAAAAAAAAAAAAACCCAAAAAAGGAAAAAAAAAAAAAAAAAAAAAAAAAAACCTAACAATGCTTTTAATTTTTCAGCACTTTTATAAGCACTAGACATATAGTCACTCCTTCAGGAAGGCTGTCCCCATTCATAATAATATCGTCGCTGTGCTGTATGGGAGTGTCAGTTTCATCGTTCCCGCATACAAAATGGATGGGCAGACAGAGGTCTTCAAAACCTACTGTCCTTGTGTTTAAATTACTTAAGCCTCTTCCATGAACTTAGACATATGGTGTATGCACTAGTCTACATCTTAAACACTCCAACAAGTAATCTTTATTTTAAAACAAAAAGATATCTCCAAGTCATATATACTAAAAATATTTATCTAATCTGTTTATTGCCTTGTTAGTGGGGATTTTTTTTGGTTTTTTGTTTGTTTCAACAATATCCCTGATGGTCTGAATTACGCCCCATAGGCTCATATATTTGAATGCTTAGTCACCACAGAGTGGAATTCTGGTGGATTAGGAGGTGTGGCCTTGTTAGAGTAAGTCTGTCACTGGGGGTGGGCTCTCTTTTTCCCTCCCATCCCCTACATACCTTCCTACCTCTCCCTCTCCCTTCTCTCCCTTCCACTTTCACCTGCCTGTATACTGCCATGCTCCCCACCATGATGATAACAGACTAACCCTCTGCAACTTTAAGCAAGGTCAAAGTAAATGCTTTCTTTGTAAGAGCTGCTGTGGTCATGATGTCTTTTTACAGCAAAACACTGAATAAGACAGGATCCTCCTATCTAATCTGTTTATTGCCTTTTTTCTGTACATACAAAAGGAAAATTTCTAGTCTAGCTTCTGCAGCTTATTCTGTATTTTAGAATACACAGCACACTAATATGATTTTTTGGAAACACTACTTAATCAATTTTCTAAAAGCTCAACCTAAAGGCTGAGGTTTCAGAATAAGCTGTCTCAAGTGCCCTGGAATCTCAGCATCAGAGATCCAGTCACAGTAGGATCCAGAACCTATGTAGGACTGGTACCTGAGCTAGCTACCAAAATATGTAGACACTCAAATCCTTTGTACAGTGTAGTGTAGTGTTTGCATATATGTTGCACAATTCTCCCAAATACTTTAAGCCATCACTGTATTACTTACTATTACACTGTAATATTCCCTATTTCGATAACAGTAGCAAGTAATAAAAGAAAACAAGCATATCAATACAAACCTAAGTTATTTTTTTCCCCAAAGATCTTTTCTTTTTTTTTTTTTTTTTTTTTTTGGTTTTTGGAGACAGGGTTTTCCCTGTGTAGCCTTGGATGTCCTGGATTCACTTTGTAGATCAGGCTGGCCTCTGAACTCACAGAGATCTGCCTCTCTAACGCTAAGATTAAAAAGGTGCACTACCACGGCCAGTTTCCCAAAGATTTTCAACTGCAGTTGGTCATACCACTTTAATAGCTATGGAATGTTTCTCATACATAAAACAATACAGAAATAACCTTTCAAATTAGCTTAATAAAGTTATTTTGGACATTATAAAGATGAAGTTAAAAAATTAATAATTTGAAGCTTCTGAAATAAGAAAGTAAAGTTCTTACTAAGTGTACAGCGTGATCAATTTCTTCAGTAGTTACGCCTGCTTTAATCATCCCAGCAGCAATGTCCAAAACTTCTCTCGCAAGCTGAAAAGAAAAACTAAGTACATTCAAAGAAGAAGTAAAATACAACCTAAACCCTGAACTTTCTTTGATTTTGTGAAAAATCAAATGAAATCATTTGATACCATTTTGTATGCAATATTAAATGTTAGAAATATGTAATATAAAAGTACATAAAAATAAATTTATTTAAAAGATATACAGGCTTTCTAGTAAGTAAACTTAATGAAGATGTATACCTAAATTAGGTAAACAATCAACATACGAAAGTCTAATCTGACATTTCTAACCTGGGGGAGCATGAAGGGAAACACAAAAAAAGATTAATGAATTTCCTCAAAAAAAAAAAAAAAATCATAGCAAGTGAAAGAAATACAAAAATCTCCAGACAGAAAAGTTAGCATCAAATCACTTTTCAAATGCTGCACAAAAGTTCTAATAAATATCTAAGGCATTTTTTTTTCCTTTAGAAAATCTAAGTATGTGATTTTATCTAATTAATCCCATCTACCCCTCCATGCTCCAAGGTGTCTCAAAGGACTATAGCCTAACTCTGTGTGAGCCTTGTACTTTGTCCTGTGCAAACATAAAATGATAAAGTATCATAAAAACTTCAGTCTTAAATATAATGCTACAAAAACAAAAACAGAAAGTTGGGTGTGGTGGTGCATGCCTTCGATCCCAGCAGACACAGGCGGATCTCTGTAAGTTCAAGCCAGCCTGATCTACATAGTGAGTTCCAGGACAGCCAAGGCCAGAGAGAAAGAGAGACCCTTAAAAAAAAAAAAATATGCACGAACACACACACAAATAAACTAATAATATTATTCTGCAAAAGTTCTTGAGGGCAGAGTAAAATCATACTCATCTCTCAATCTTTGCAATTCAGTAAATATTTATGCAAATAAACAAACAATACAAAGTTGATCAAAGAAAATCACAACTACAGATGACTCGTTTGGTTTTATTCTAAAATAGATTAGATTTAAATAAATGGATTATTTAAATATAAAAATATTTTGAAAGTCAGTGAAGAAATGGGATGGCTTGTAACAGTTAACAATGTAACATCTCATAGACCACAAATCACAGGCTTCCTGTCTGGGCTCTTAACCAGGAAAAAGTAGCGCTTACCCTACACACAAGCCGCATTCCCTCTATGTCTTCAGATGAGAGTAATTTAATCTGAGAAGTACCTTTAAGAGCCTGTTCAGATTCAGACATTCCTGGAATGGAAAAGGAGTGAGTAAAACCACAACAAACAGAAGGACAGAACTCAGCACATTGTACCCTGATGTTGGGGTAACAGCTGATTCTCCTTATGTACAATAATATTTCACATTTTAAGAGGGTCAAAGTTAGTTTATTTTTTAATATTTTCAACACAAAAAGGAAATAAAAGACATTGTAAAGAAAAATTTTCTAAAACTTCTAATTATACTAATTATTATTAGTATAATTTCACAATTATACTAATAAATTCACTAAATGATACATTTTAACAAGTACAGCACAAAGCACATACTGTTTTTATGACCATGCATGAAGCATTTACATACCAACAACTAATCAACAACTATACTGCTTTTTAAAACCAGAGCCTAACTCAATGTCACTCAAACCTCAGTTTATAATCTTAGGGTTTTTTTGGCTTTTTTTTTTCTTTTAGTTCCATGTGCACAGGTATTTTGCATGCATGTCTTGTGGCCTTGGAGGCCAGAAGAGGGCATCTGGTCCCCTAAAACTGAGGTTACAGGAGATTGTGAGCTATCAAGACGGTGCAATGAATCGAACCCAGGTCCTCTAGAAGAGCAGCAGTGCTCTCAACTGCTGAGCCATCTCTCCATCCTAATTTACTGACTTTTAGTAGGCTATAATTAATATTTGAAAAGGGAAAAGAAGGTGTCAGATTCCATATTATACAACCCCAGGTAAATATTGCTGCAAAATATCTGATTATTATTCTTATACACACAGGTCATGTCAAAAAAAAAAAAAAACAAACAAAAAAAAAAAACAGAACATTTCTCATTCAGGGTCATAATTAAAAGTCTGGGAAATTCTGACCAAAGAATCTTCAATACTGAATTAGTCTAATTCAAGTTTTATATATACATAAAAGAAACAGTCTATATAGCAATTATTTCAAAATCTTGGGAGAAAAAAAAAAATCTAACCAATTATCAATCTATCCTGTTTGCATTCTCTAAAATGGAAAATGCCCAAACAAACTTTTCTGCAATTCTTTTATGTGTGTGTGTCATATGAATGTGCTGGTATGTGGAGGCCAGAGTACCAGATCCCCTGGAGCAGGAGTTAATGGCAATTAGGGCCTCTCAAAGGGCTGGAAGTGCTGTTAACCACTGAGGTTAACAGCTCCCTAAATACTTACACAAATTTAGAAAAAAATAGACTCACAAGATAAGGTAATTAATTCAATATTAGAAAATAACTGACTATCCAGAATGATAATCCTGATAACATGGGTAGCTACCGCCTTAAAATATAAATCCCAAGTCAGAATGAATATCACAGAATGATGATTATCTGGCACAATGCTGTTCTGGCAATACCAGCAGACATTAGGTAAACAAAAGAAAACATAACTTAAATGAAAGGATAAAAGCTTCATCTGCAGATAATACATAATCCTAGAACAAAAGAATCATCTGGTGAATGGATGAAAGTAAGAATTTAGCAAGTCAACAATTAAGATGTCAAAATCAGTAACTTTACCATAATATAAACAACCTAGAAACTACCAAACAATAAAGTACCCAGAACAAATATAACCCTAAAACAGCTTCAAAACGGAACTCTGAAAACTCTACTTTAGATACAATATAAAACATACCCTATTTTTTAAATATTATCAATAAATCAATTCTTCCAAAATTAATCTGTAAATTTAGTATTATCTCAATAAAGAATACCAACAAGATATTTCCGGGAATCAAGACAAGCTGATTATAAACTGAATACAGAAGAAGAAACATGCAAAAATACTCAGAAAAATTCTAAAGGAAAACAAAGTTGACAGCAACAAGGCCTACAAATATGAAAACATTTCCAATAGCGAAAGTCTGGCAATGGCATGTGATTAGTCAAACATGCTAATCAAACACCGATCCAAAGACACGTGAGAATTAAATATAACAATACAAGATACATTTATCTTACTATACATACAAACACTGAAAGCATGTTATTACAGAATAACAAAACATTAGTGTTTACCTGAGGGAAAAAAATCTTTGCAATATAGTTCAGTGTTAATGTACAAAGAACATTTTAGAAATTTAAGGAAAAAAAAAAAAACAACCTAATCACCTAATGGGGAAAGAGGATAAGAATATGAACAGACATTCAAAAGGAAAGAAAATACAACTTTTAATACATGAAAAGATGTTAAACCTTATAATTTAAAAATGCAAGCTAAAATAAAAGACTATGCAATTTCAGCCTTTCAGTTTTATAAAAAACCATAAAAACTTTGCTAACAAACAATGATGGTAACAACTGAAGAGAAGCAAAATTCTGTTTTGTTTTATTTTGTTTTAATTTGAACCATTTCATGAAGTTAGTTGTGTGTCATCCTCACACAAGAATCATGACAGTCCTCACTGTATCATCCCAATTTTAGTATGTATTCTTTGACAGCAAGTACACTCGTGTTCTTAATGAGAGTAATAACTGGAAAATACTCTGAAGTTTCTAATATCTCAAAATAAAAATGTCTATATCCTTTGATCTAAACCATTATTTTAGGCAATTAACCTAAAAAAAAGTCTTAAATGTTGCCAAAGATGAAACTACAAGAATCGATTACAATCAAATTCACAGAAGCAAAGCCTTGCAAATAATCTAATCTGACCATTCATTAGTAGAGGCCTGGATGGTAATTATAATACAGCCACACAATTAAATTAAAATTAAAACTATAGATCTGAAGAACTTACATGAACTCATATATGAAAAAAAAAAAAAAAGGTTGAAAAGGTGTATGTGGTGCATTCGTTTTGTGTAAAAACGGGCTCTAGGTCTAGTGTGTATTCATTAAGAAATGATTTTTTGTTTCTTTTGTTTTTTAAGACAGGGTTTCTCTGTGTAGCCTTGGCTGTCCTGGACTAGCTTTGTAGACCAGGCTAGCCTCGAACTCATAGAGCTCCACCTGCCTCTGCCTCTGCATTCCTGCAAGAAATGTTCTTAAAGCAGTTATCTCTAGGGAGTAGGGCTTCTTTTCAATGCAAAACATTCTATTTATTTAAAGTTATACCTATATTTCTTAAAATATAAGTTTTTACTATATTCAAGAGAAAATAGTAAAATTATGAGTTTCCACATTATTGTATCATTTCTAGTATCTTTTCCTTAAATTTATCTACAATGAATTTAGTAAGTTTTAAAATTACATATAGAAAGAATAATACTATGGTTCTGTGAGTCTTAAAGAAAAAAGCAGCTAAGTAAACGTATACTCAGCCACACATGCTGCACACAGTGGCACAGACATGTAACCCCACACTCAGGAGGCTAAGACAGGATGACTGTACATTTGAGGCCAGCTTGGGCTAGGTAGTAAAATGTCTCAAGACCAAAAAAATTTAAACATTTTAAATTTAAAAATAAACAAATAATCAAGTAGACTCGCTGATATTCCACCATGTCTCATGTCTGACATGCAAAGCCAATCAACACCTAGTCCAGCCTAGATACTGTACAAGTCCAAAGGTCAGAGGCCAAGTCCACTGACTGTGTGGCAAATTACTTATCTTCTCTGCATGCCTCACTATCATTATCTATAAAATAGAGAAGACAACAGAACCTACCTCAGAAATGTTGAAAGTATTAAATGGAGTAACACGTGCAAAGAACTTAGCACAGTGCCTGACACATGGTTAAGCAAAAATAAATATCAGTTACTATTAAAGAATCATCACCATCATGCTCACATAACTATTATCACCACCATTGCTATTCTTTCTATTACTGCTACAGCCCAAAGTTTTTAGTGAAGCATTCACTCAGGCCTTCATGATCTACTTCTGCCTTAATTTAGGTAAGAGCAAAAAGAAAATTAAAAACCTTTCCCTCCCATCTGGCAGTTCATTTAACACAAAATACAGTATTTTTCTGAATGTCGTCTTTAATAGCCACATAAACACTGATTTCAGAACTGGATAGATTCCTAATGAGGGGGTAAAAATCTTTATCTTAAATGCTTTAATGTGGCTTTAGAAAAGAAACAGTGTTTACATTACATGTCCAGCACTGAAAACCCTACAAGAAAAGCATGCCTTGCTTTGCCGTGATGTCAAGCCCACAAACTGAAAACTGCAGAACAGAGCCAAAGCAGGACTTACCTAAGGGATGATCAGCATAGTCTGGCCTTTGAATATAACTGGGCACTGGCCTTGTTGGCATCTAAAAACAATAGCGAGATCAGTTCAATGCCTGTTAACTAGTAACAAAAATAAAACTGCAAAGAAAACTCAAAAATGGAGTTCAAGCCAAAGCTTTTAATAGTTTTTTAGTTGACATGTTAGTATCATAAGACTCTTATTTGACTCACTGAGATTAAGGTTACGTTCTAGTACCACATATATTCTTGAGAAAGAAGAATGACTAAGCGTGTCCCCGCTTCAAGATTAGATACAAGTCTCGAGAAGCAGCTCAGTGTTTAAGAGTCTGCTCTTCAGATGACCTAAGTTCAACAGTCAGCATTCATCAAGTGGCTTACAAAACCTGCAACTCGAGCTCCAGAGAGGGCCGACACCTCTGGTCTCTGCTGGCACATGCACTAATGTGTTCACACCCACACAGAGCTATAAACACACGATTTAAATCGTAAAAGTGGTGAATCTTAAAAACAGCAAACAACAACAACAAAAAGACTGAAAACCAACAGGAACCCTGTTGCTCCAAACTGGCAAGCTGGTAACTGTAATAAAGTGGCAGCTCAGAGTAAAATCAAACATTCGTAGACATGATCACTGGGAGGGAGAAATACAGAACCTAAACTTTTTGTTGTTGTTTTTGTTTTGTTTTGGGCGTGTACCACCATGCCTGGCACACAGAAACTTTCTTATGTATCTGGTAGTTTCCCAATTTTATATTACAGACGTATTCATTTTATTAAAAGTAACAGTCAAGCCAGGCAGTGGTGGTACACATCTTTAATCCTAACACTCGGGAGGCAGAAGCAGGCAGATCTCTGTGAGTTTAAGGGCAGCTTGGTCTACACACAGTGAGTTCCAGGATAGCCAGAGTATGGTTCAAAATAACAAAAAATCACTCCTGAGTCCTATGAAGAAACCAAGCTTGTACTAAAGTGGAAGCTTCATCTATTGGCTAGCTTTCATAGCTCTGGAAAGTGTTATACATGCTGCCAACAGGGGAAAGAACCAACAGTCTTTCCCAGCTATGAACCCTTCTAGCTATAGTAAGACCAGGGTGACTCCATGTATCCAGTTCAAAGGTTGCATGAATGCTTTGGGAGTAAAGAATCTATTTCTCATTGGATTTAACGGACCCCACCAGTAAGAGGTTGTGGATGTTGCAGCAAAACAGCATTACTGTACATGAGAGGGCTTCCTCCCACAGAATTGACAGCAGCTGTGACTGTATACACAGATTTGTACAAGATCAAAGCAGCCAAAATTCTAGTATAGATGGGGGAGGGGCTGGTGAAGTCCCATCCCCAGCAAAGGAACCTGCTGGAAATGAGTCACTTTTCTAAGGATGCAGCTCCTGAAAACTTGCCTGTGTTCTAGTAGGCGGCCATACACCCATACACATGCTAGCAGCATTAAGATGACTCGGTAATTTTTTTTTTTAACATATTAGGTTGGGAAGGAAATGTAGTAAGAAAATAACAGACGAGTTAGAGGGGAGAGTAAGCTGCATGTAAGTCTGATCAAAACACATTATATTCCTGCATGAAATTCTCAAAACAATTAGAAAAATCTTTCGAATCCTACAGGTGAAATGCCACATGAAATCAGACTCAACAGCAAGAACAGGAGTGGTACTTACATCATAATTAGGTTACAATGCATCACATTAAAAAACTGTAGAAAAGCAGTAACATGCTCTCATGCCAGCCATAAGACTATTTATTCCATTCTTTTATAAAATTAATAAAGTTTTCATCTTTATATCTAAAGACTTCTCCCCACGGTGGTGCATGCCTGTAATCCCAGCACTCAGGGAGGCAGAGGCAGGCAGATGTCTGTGAGTTCAAGGCCAGCCTGGTCTACAAAGTGAGTCCAGGACAGCCAAGGCTACACAGAGAGGAAACCCTGTCTCAAAAAAACAAAAAACAAAAAAAAAAAAAAAAAAAAAATCTTTCCACTTCTTCCACAACTGCCAATTATACCTATTAGCTCCCAAATAATATACCTTGAGAGCTAGAATGCACATTCCTTTCTGAAGGCAATCCTGTTAATGATTCACTACTCAAATACAAATTACAAGCATCGATTTCAGAGAACTGAAAAGTGGTTTAAAGACAAGGCTACACTCTAATTACTTTACATACTCACCAGTGGATAATGAGGTCTGAGTTTACCGGTGTACCGATAACCTGCCCATGGGTCAGTGTTAACATCACCTTCTACAGTCCAGGAACATACTTCTCTTTTTGCCTTTTCGTCTTCTGAAAGAATAAGAGATAAACAGATGTGAAAGTGAGGAGAGGAAAGGATGCTTCAGTCATCAGCTACTGAAGAGCATACTTTACTTCTCACTTGGTTGAACAGGAGAGCCCAGGCACAAATATCCAGTAAGCATCCAATCTAAGCCGACAAGGCAGCTGCTTTCCTGCTCTGGTTACAAGCTTCCAACCCTCTCGGATCTCAGTGTCTAGGAAGAAGCATTCCCTAGACACACACTGTACACAGTCTCAAACAGAATGACACTCAATGGTAAACACATGCTCTCCACAATAATACTTCACACAAAGGTAATTTTGAAGTGTCAAAATATGAGCAAAACCTTCCCACATGAAATCAGACTTAACAGCTGAATTCTATGCTCTTATTTAAAAGCAGTAATCTTAAATCACCCCTAAAGCAAACTTATATAAAAAAAAAAAAAAAAACTTCCTATTTAACCATTCAATGGCTTTTAAGTGAAGGTTTTCAATCAATACAAAACTATTTCTGAACCCAAGACAAAAATGGACTGCATTCATTGTCAATAAATTCAAGTACTATTGAAAATTCTTGAAAATGGCAAGCATGAATACTAGCTTGAAGTAGTTTGTCTGAAGGAGGAACATCTAGGGATGTATCTCTTTAAATCTAGAACAATCAAGATACAAGCTTTTGCTGAGCACAGTGGTACAAATCTGTGCAGCAGTTTGAAGACTGATGCGGAGGATTATGAAGTTCAAGTCATACAGGGTGCTAGCTACATCACTAGATTCCAGAGCTGTCCAGATAGCTCAGTAAATAAAGGAGGGACTTGCCTCCCAAGCCTCAGTTTAATCCCTACCACCACCCCTCACGGCAGAAGGCAAAACCCGTACCCCTCAAAGAGTCCCAAGTTCCTTCTACATGTGCAGCGTGTGCTCATGTGCATGCATGCACAAATACAAATAAAATAATAGATGCAATAAGAAAAAAATCTACATTCTGTCTCAACACAGCTTTTGCTTAACAATACTCCTAGGGAGGCAACAAAGAAAGGAAAGGAAGTGAAGCCTTTCTTTTCTTTCCAATTTTTTTGGAGATTTATTTACTTATTTTATATATGTGAGTGCTCTGACTGCAAGCATACATGCATGCTAGAAGAGGGGATCAGATCCCAGTATTGATAGTTGTGAGCCACCATGTGGCTGCTGGGAATTGAACTCAGGTTCCCTGGAAGAACAAACAGTGCTCTTAACCACTGAGCCATCTCTCTGGCCTGGAAATAAAGCCTTTCAAATCTAAAGGTCCCTGTTGATCTGCATCCCTGCCCTTCTACAAACAGTATTTGCAAAGGAGAATTGAAAGCAGACCTCAAACACAGACCTCACTCCAAACTTACATCCGAAAACTGAAGTAAGCTTACATTTCAGGGCCCGTTTAACCAATGCTAGACAAGCACTAGATTCCTAATAGTCATCAAACAACTGAGGCTGGTAGCAAAACTTTTTAAACAACTTGAAAGCAAAGGACACTGCATACTATTGTTCAAAAGCTACAATGCTTTAGGCCCAGATAAGAAACAGGCAGTGTGCCAAAGAGCATGCAATGTAAGGCCCAAAGTACAAGACATCCCAGTCGTGCACTTCCATTCAAGGGAACAAACCAAAAGCAGTTTCTCTCTTCCCTTATGCTTTGGTGAACTTTCACTCAGAGTACTTCCCACTTGCAGACTATTCTTCCTCCCATGGATAACCCAGAATGCCCAGTAAGCACAGATATCACTTTATACCACCAGGAAAAATACATCTTCTTAAAATCTCTATTTCCTTTTCCTTCAAATGTGGTTTGGCTAACCTCAGATGCTTTGGTAAGGCACTCTAGCAAACTTTATTAAACCAACTAACTCCTAGAAAACAAGCAGATGAGTACATGGCACCAAAATCATTGAGACAGAAAGTTTATACCAACTACCTGCCAAGCATGCACCCATCACGTGGCAATGCTGGATGCACAGCAAGTCCTAGTCAATTTCCAAGCAAGCATGGCAGGGTGTCTCAGGTCAGCCATACTAAATTTACAGCATCAAGAGCTGATACAGAAAGACTATGCTGAAAAAAATGCCATACCAGTGTGGCTGATAATAGCTAACTGTTATGGTTTCATCTTGTGGGGTCATCCAAAACACCTCCAAAATCAACAGGGTATGGTGACACATGTCTATAACCAGCACTTAGAGGCAGAAACAGAGATATCGAGAGTTTAAGACCATTATCAGCTACAGAACAGCGATCTGGCCAAACAAAACCCAATACCCCTTGTGCCCTCCGCCCACAATATGCAGATAACACTTCTACCAAAACAAGAGGGTGTCAAAGGATTAGGGCACGATCAGGTACTAACCAAGCCAGATCCACCTATCCTAGCAAAGATCTCATGTTCTCATGTTAAACACATGAAACAAGATTAACCAGATGTAATTCAGACATTTTATTACATATTACCAAAGAATAATAATTCCAGATGTCAGAAGTATGCTTTCAGAGCACCCAAACACATACTTTCTGAAGTAAAAGTCCCAAGACTAGCACAAATGCTGCATCCAAGGCAGAGAGCATAAGGATAAGCAATGTTACTCACTTGCTTTCTTATGTAGTAACTTGTGAGTAGCCCAGCTTCCTTTAAAGCATTCCTAAAAGAGCAAACAAGAAAATCAGTTTCAGGCTTGCCTCAATCAGAAACATTTTTAAGGACTGTTACACAGAAGAAACAGTTACTGGCCAGGCACAATGGCATATGCCTTTAATACCACCCATCTGGAGGCTAGGACATGCAGGTGGGTTCCAGGCCAGCAAGAACTACACACTGAAACACTGCCTCAAAACATAAAAATAAAAAGACTAAAACACAAGAGTTTGCAAGACAAATATTAAGAGAAAGCTGGGTGGCACATACCTGTAATCAGGGAGGTAGAGGCAGGTGGATCTCTGAGTTCAATGCTAGCCTGGTCTACAAAGTAAGTTCAGGACAGTCAAGGCTACACAGAAAAACCTTGCCTTGAAAAACCAAATGAATGAATGAATGAATGAATGGCAGCAGTTCAAAGTATCAAGGCAGAAAGTAACCTAAGGCTAGGGTTATAGTTCATTGATTGGGATAGCATTTGCATGGTGTGTGCTGCCTTCAATGCCTACTACAGCCTCCCCCAGCCCAGTATTTGAACACTTATTCCCTAGCTAGCAGTACTCTTTGGGAAGGTTGTAGAGCCTTTGGGAAGGAGCCCTGCAGAAGAAGTGGGTCACTGCGGGCTAGCCTCTAACCTGCTTCCTGACTGCAGATACATGGCGACCAGCTGCCTCAGACTCAGCCCACTAGCTTTCCTCCCTGTAATGGACTATAATATCCCTTCTTAAACTGTAAGCCAAAACAGCCAGCCCTCCTCTGAACATCTTCTGTCAGGAAGTTGCCACAGCAATAAAAAACTAATATAGTACCAACAATTTTGACCCCAAAATACAAACAAACAAAAAATGTAATGGTTATAGAAAAACTTCAGTTTTTCTATTGTTTTGCATAGAATCCGCTCCCATTTTCACAGTTCCTCCCTATTATTTAAAGAAAGGACTGTCTGTATTAAAAGCCAGTTCTAGGTAGTTCTTTGGGACATGGATCATTCATAGTGTGGACTGGAGCAATGGCTTAGCAGTTACAAGCTTCAACAGACACCATTTTTGTTCCTAGTACCTGCACAAGGAGACTTACAACTGACTCTAACTCTAGCTCAAGGGGATCCAACACCCTCTTCTGTCCTCTGTGGACACTACACACGCATGAAGCTTTTTAAAAAAAAGTCTAAACTTTGGGTACGTATCTGGAGACCAACTCTGTCATGTGCTCAAGTATGTATTGGTTGTTCCCTAGTCTGAAGCTTTTTTTGGTATCTATTGTTGCTAGACCAGACTCATCCTTAACGTAATCTGACCTTCCCTTTCCATAGCAGTGTATGTTTACTGTCTTTATAAAGTAAATTTTGTAATTAGTTGTGTAATGATAAGGAGCCATCTCATATTTATTGCTGAATGCCTAATCTCTAGTACCGTACTATACTTACAGCATGAATTGGTGCCACTTCCCCTAATATGATTTACTTCCAACATTAATGTAGAAAGGCAGACACACACACCCCACCCCAACTGCCTCATTTCCTCTGGCGGCATATGTAGGGTCTTTAGAAAGCCTGCAATGTCAACAATCCCATGTCACTAACATGTCCTTTTTTTTTTTTAAGATTTATTTGTGTGTGTGTCACATACACATGCATACCCACAAAGGCTGGTGGAGGAAATGAGAACCTAGGAAGAATTTCAAGGCAGTTGTAAGCCACCCCATGTGAGTGCTGGAAACCAAGCCAGTCCTCTGCAGGAGCTGCAAATACTCGTAATACTGTACCATTTATCTAGCTTCCCCCAAACACCTTTTACAGCCCTGTATTAGGTTTAAATTTCCCATCAACATCATTTATCATTTCTTTTTGTCACACGTTCATTTTGGTTAGTCAACTCCTTCTATCATTTTTGTAAAATGTCACATGATATCTGTGGGTAAGAAACAAACAGGCAACACCTACTGCTGCCTCCATGTGAACTGAGTGACAGACAACATGGGCGAGGGTAGAGACTGCTCACAGACGGATGTGCACATCTAGTATGTACTAGTAATCTAAGAACTGAAGAGTTGGTATTCTTCATTGCTGTTTTGCAAGAACTAGTGGTAACAATTTGTCAAAAATATAAATTGGGCAAGTACTTAATCCCAGCATAAAAAAGCTAAACTAGGATTGCCACGAATCCTTAAGGGGGACTACATAATGACAATTTGTCTTAAGATATAAAAAGACTTTGCCCAAATCTCTCTCTGTGTGTGTGTGTGTGTGTGTGTGTGTGTGTGTGTGTGTGTGTGTAATACTTTGTGTGTAATAAGCCCTGACTATTCTGGACTTAGTTTGAAGACCAGGCTGGCCTCTAATTCTGAGATCCGAATGCCTCTGCCTCCTCAAGTACTGGAATTACACCATGCCTGGCTACACTTGCTGCTCTTGCAGAGGACCTTATTTCAGTTCCCAGTACCTATACGGTGGCTCACAACCATTCTTAACTCCAGTTCCAGGGGATCTGATAACCACTTCTGACCTCCAAGAACAGCAGGCACCAACTTGGTACACATACATACAGGCAGACACAATACTCTCACACACGATAAATAAATCTAAATGATAAATAAGGTGATCAGCATCTTGAAATCACTTACCAGACACTAGGCCAGGCTCTGTACATGTTCTTATTCACTGTCTTCCCAACTCTAAGAATGGTGCCTTTCATCCATCCATGGAAGGATCAGGAGCAAAGACTAAAACCCAAATCTCACTGCAAATGCAGTCTCCTCCCACTTAGCCACAGTCCCTGACTTTCTCAGTTCTGATGGCCACAAAGAATAACACACCATTTAGGACTTTCTCAGCGGATTATTTGGCCCAGGGCAAGACAGTGACCAGCATAGAATCTTGCTAAATAACAGCAGTTAAGAAACTGAAATTTTGCCTGGCAGTAGTGGCGCACCTTTGATCCCAGCACCGGGGAGGCAGAGGGAGGTGGATCTCTAAGGGCAACCTGGTCTACACAGTACATTCCAGGACAGCCAAGGTTACCCAGAGAAACCCTGTCTTGAAAAACAAAAAAAGATAATGCAAGGGTAGAATTCCACTTTCCACAGCAGGCACATTCCTTCCATCCTTCAATTAATGAACTGAACACATACGGACAACAAGAAACTTCAGAAAACACAACAATGAGTAAACCTTAGGCGCCATCTCAAAAACAAAACAAAAAACAAAAACCTCTTACAAGTGAAGAAAATAAGGTACATACAACTATTAATTTAGTAAGAAAGGATACCTTCAAGACACACACACACACACACAAAAAAAAAAAAAAAACAAACAAAAAAAACCACACAGGCTTTGGAAAGCCTAATTTAAGGATAATGGGTCTTATTCCTTAAAGAAAGAAATTTCTTAAAAAGAAACTAAGATAAAAATATTTTTTATGTTTTTAAACATAAAATAGAGTTTAACAGTAAAATAAACTATCATTTACAGTTTAGTCGGTGCCTTTCCACCCATCAAAACCGTATGATAAGAACTATTAGTGACCCAATTTTTTTTTCTTTTTTCTTTTTGAGACAGGGTTTTTCTGTATAGCCCTGGCCATCCTGGACTTGATTTGTAGACAAGGCTGACCTCAAACTTACGAAGATCCGCCTGCCTCTGCTTCCTGAGTGCTGGGATTAAGGGCATGGTGTCACCAAGCCACATTTTCAAAAGATAATGAAAACCAGAAGTTGTATGTATGAAGTCACACAGCAGAGAAGCTTCTGTTCTGACTTTTCAGAAGTTAATATTCTTCACTTCTGTTAACTAATTGTTAACAATTTGTCAAAATATAAATTGGGCATGTACTTACATCCCAGCATAAAAAAGCTAAGCTAGGACTGCCACCAACCCATACGGAGGACCTGACCTGAACTCAGTCATTCATTACTCATTCATTCAAATGTATTGACCACTTGCTGCATACAAGTTACAGTACAAGGAAATGAGTATTCAGCCATGAAAATGATAGCTTACCTTCTGATCAAAGACACTGTTTAACAAATAAGGTAATTGGAGGTCATTAAAATGTTATAAAAGTGTTATGGTGTTATAAAAAGGTGTCTTTGTAGTTTGGTTTGGTTCCAAAAACAGTCTGGCCAGTATTAGGGAAACGAAGACAGAGAGGTAAAGGAAAAAAAAAAAAAAAAAACCCTCTGAAAAGAAGCATGCCTAATGGCAAGGGAAAGCCTTACTCTCAACATGGATATAAACTGTGTTTAGGAAAAGGTTCAGAGACAGAGGACAAGGGACATTTTGGTAAGTAAAGAATATAAACAGCAAGATAATCCCGTCAGCCTGACAAGAGCTACTCTAACTGAGGAGCCAGAACACCAAAAGCAGTTAGAACCTCATTAATGAAATAGGCATGACCCAACTTTGGGAGGTGTGGCATTTATAGATAAGATCTAGTCTGGTTTGCTTTGAGTGGTTTGTTTACAAAGTGAGGAATCACAGTGGAGAGATGGATGAATTACTACAACTGACTCAGTGACAAATTTTACAAACTGGCCATGAGAGGTAATAGGAATGAGGAGAGGCAGCATAAGCCACTCTGGCTATTTGATTAAAGGTATAACAGTGATACTAGTACTATACCTACAGGATCCAACACAGGCTACACTCATTCTGCCATACTGAATAAATCTTAGATGTTCTCACAATTCCAAACTACAATTCAATATTCTTTACAACAGATGCCACCTATGCCTGATGAACAGTTAAACATTTTAAGCATTTATATATTTTTAATTAAAAATTACAGGATTTTTCCCCCTTCTCTATCCTCCCTCCAACCTTTCCCAAACCCCTCCCCCAGCTCTTAAATCCATGGCCTCTATTACTATGTAACTGTGTGTGAATGTGTGTGTGTGTATTTCTAAACATATAAATACAACCTTTTCAGTCCACTTAATGATCCTTGTATGTATATGGTTCCAGGGCTCAGCATCTATCTTGCATAATCAATTGGGGAGATAGTGTCGGTACATATTAATCCATGTATCTTTACAAAATGTCACCCAAATCAGAGAGACATTTCTCCAGCCCAGCCTACTTTCCTGCCCCTCCTCCTGCTCTTCCTCCTAGTTCTACTTCCTCTCTCTCTCTCTCTTTCTCTCTCTCTGAGACAAGAGTCTAAATATGTAGCATGGGCTGGGCTTGAACTCACTAGGTAGACTAAGTTGGTCTGGTAAGACCTCTACCAGCCTCTGCCTCCCAAGTGCTGGGATTAAAGGTGTGTGGCACCACACCCAGCACCTCCCAATGTAAAACACTTGTGTAAACTACATTAATCTACTCAGATGGTACACAATTTTCATGGCAAACTTTCGTTTTTAAGTCCAGGTTCCAAACAGAACTCAGGAAGTTAGAACTTGAAAATGTTAACAGTTTCAAGAGGCCCTTTACCGGGCCCAGAGCTATTTTTAAATCAAGCAACACGTCCATGTGCAACGTTTTGGAAAATGATATTAAGGTCAAGGATCATATACTCTCTAAACAAGACCCATACAACAGTGAAGATCTCTTTGCAATGGCTTATCTACAATTGTTAAGGCTTTTATTCATAGGTTTTATTTTATATTTATCTTTTCATGTACTTTATACTCAAAAATAGTTGTTTTGCTGTTTTCACATAACTATCTCCCTCCTCCCCCCCCCAAAAAAAAATAGGGTTTCTCTATGTACCCCTAGCTGTCCTGGAATTCAAGGCTACCCTAGGGATCTGCCTGCCTCTGCCTCTCAAATGCTGGGATTAAAGGTGACATGTACCACCCCTCCAGCCACATAATTATTCAACTTTTTAAAGATATCAGTACTAAACTGTACTGGAATCCTTTAAAAAACACAGGTCTTAAGTTGCAGGGCTACAGGGTCTTATTTTAGTATCAGTGTCAAAGCACCTTGTGAATCCTCACTCACTCTGTCTGCACAAGATAAGTTGGAAGCTTAAGTAATTTCACTTACTCAAGAATTAGCATGTCAAGGCCTTTGGACTCCTGATTAATTCCCCTCTCCCAGAAACCTGTCAGTTTAATATCAAACAATATTTATATACCTGTCGTCAACAAACTCTTAACTGAAGCCCAGTGTTTGCTGCCTTGCCATTATGCTGAGTCTCGAAACATAACGGAACACAAATACTGTTCAGTAAACACACACTTCTGTCAGGGCCCCACTCAGCGCTGGGTTTGCTCAGCTGCACAAAACTTGCACATCAGAGTCTTGCAGCTCTGAGGTCCTGAGGGAACTGTCCTTTCTACTCTGTAGGAACTTCAGGAACACAAGTGAGTCATCTCTTTACCTTACCAGTTCTCTAAATGAATAATCTAAGATGCCAACGGAAAGAATGAATTACCCAGACCCCCCCCCTCCACGCCCACTCAAAGTTGTTTAAATGTCAGAGCACGGTAGTAAAACACAAAAGAAGTGAGGCTGAAACTAGCTCTCCTTTTCTGGAGACTGCGGCCACCTCGAGGCCCTGGCGGGTCGCTTCCGTCACCGTCCGGGATTGCACAGACACCGGAACGAAGCTCCTGGAGCGCGGCCCGCGGCGCCCACACCCGACCCCGGCTCGGGCGAAGGTCGTGGGCTACCGGTTCCCGCGCGTCCCTACCCGGCCGCCCTCCGGGGTGCGGACGTGTGGCCCGAACCCGGCGCAGGTCAGCTTCCGCCCCCGCGAGCGCCGGCGGCTGGCTCCCGAGGCCCGGGCCACTCTGAGGCCGGAGGGAGAGGCAACCGGGCCCAGAGGCGGAGGCCGGAGGGGCGCGGAGTGGGTGGCTACCTGCGAGCAGAAGTACGAGCCCTGGATGCCCAGCTTGATGCAGGTGGGACACTGGAGCTTGGCCTCGCTGCTGCAGCCGTCTGTCTCGCACACCCGCGTCTCCACGGCCGCCATGCTGCCAGGCTGCCGGAGGAGGGAGGAACGGCCGGAGGGAGGGGAGAGAGAGGCAGCCGGGGAGGAGCTCCGCCCGTGAGCCGAGCGACGGGCGGGGAGGAGGAGGAGGGCCCGCCCCTACGCTGCGCGCCCCGCCCACACCGCGCACGCGCCCCGCGCGCTCACCTGCTGCCCCGCCCCTCCCGCCGTCCGGCCCGCCCCCGGCAGCCCCGCCCTCGCCGCGCACGCGTACTGGCGCCTCGCCCCGCCCCCTCGCCGCGCCTCTGCGCGGCTGCCCCGGTCCACGCCGCGGCGGTGGGGGAGACCTCGGGACACGGACCGCGGAACGCCCTCATTGTTGGGCTCCTCTGCTTGGTTCTTCACCTGACGCTTCGTGCAGAGTGACTGCCTTTTGTGAGTTCCGCGTCTGTCGGGGCTGGCCTCAAACCTGACCCTCGAAAAAAAAAAAAACCAATAAGCGCCCGTTCTCCAAAAAATGTCAATGGAACCGAGATGGGACGAAATCCGCCCTCCCTCGTGCCTCTCTTTCCACACCCCGCCGTTGAAATACATAATGCTAGTAACTGCCAGAGCGTTCAATACCCACGGAATTTTTTTTTTTATATATATTATCTGATTTTATGGTCTAAGAGAATTCAACTAGCCAAGAAATGTGGGAGTTAGCCGGGCGGTGGTGGCGCTCGCCTTTAATACCCCACACTTAGGGAGGTAGAGGCAAGCATCTAGATCTCTGGGAGTTCCAGGCCAGCCTAGTCTACAGCCTGAGTTCCAAGACAGCCAGGGCTACACAGAAATCCTGTCTCAGAAAACCAAAGAAAATAAAGAAGCTAAATAAAAAGCTTTTAGAGTTTATCAGCTACAAACCTGTGACCTAAATCTTTGAACTACAAATACTCAGTAGACTCCAGAACTGCCGGTTTCTAACTTGTGTTTGTCGGGGGGGGGGGGGGGGGGGGCTGGAACTGGTTTTATTTGATCATCAACTAAATGCTGTGAGTTTTGTTATTTTTTTAAATTTTTCCACCTTAGTAGACCAGAAAAAGCTCATATTTTCTTTAATAACTTTTGCTGTATAACCGCTGTAAAACTTCTAATAAAAATGTATACATTTAAGCAAAAAAAAAAAATCAGTGACTGCATATATGTATATGTTTGTATAGGACATATAACTATACAAATCCCAGCTTCCTAAACTGTGGCTCACAACTCGTGGAACCACAAAATATTTGGCAATAGTAAAAGGTTTTTTAAAAGCCTCACCACCAGAAGTTAACTGAAAATTAAACAGGAAGCACATCACAGGTATTTTGTAGACACTCAGCGCGTGCATCAGGACTTCTCTGCAGCCTTGATTCTGAACCCACAGCACACTGCATTACAGCAGCCACAAACAACCGCCTGAACACTGCCACAGAAGACTAGTATGTGTTGTGTACTGCAAATATTGTGAAGTCAGCATATTTGGTGTTTCGCTCTTAAGCATAATGGTTTCATCACAGAAAACAAAACTTTACTATTTTCCTACCATCATTCTTCATCAGGTATGAAGTATCTCTTTGGATTGAATTGCCTTAGAATAGCAGGGATAGTAAGGTGGTTAGTACTTTGCATAGTAAATTGAATGATTCTAAATATTGCTTTTTGAGTTGCTGGCTTGGACTTCATTTTAAAAAATTATACAGTGGATTTTGGCGTGGATTAGCCAGAGTTTCCAACAATTCCTAAAACAGACCAAAATATACTTCTGCTATTTTGTACTACATATTTATACAAAGCAACATTTTCAGCATTGACAATTACAAATCAAGATATTCATCACCTATGAAAAACATTAAAATGCTTTATGACCTGTAGTGTCAAATATTCATCCAAGATTTCTTTTCCTTTTTTTTTTTTTTTTCCTTCTCTTTTCTTTTTGTTGTTGTTGTTTGGCTTTTCTAGTCTGGGTTTCTCTGGGTAGCTCTAGCTGTCCTGGAAGTTGCTTTGTAGACCAGATTGGCCTTGAACTCAGAGGTCCCCCTCTGCCTCCTGGGTGCTGGATTAAAGGCGTGTACCACCACTGCTGGCAAGATCTCTGTATGTAGAATGAAGAAGCACATATGTCTTACATGTAATGTGAATTTAATAAAAAGTGTTATGGCAAAATTGTTCTAAGGACGGAAAGACGACTCAGCAATTTAAAGATCTTTCTATGCTTGGAGAGGACCTGAATTCAGTTCTCAGCACGTGTGTCAGTTAGCTCACAACCACTGTAACTCCAGCCCCTGTGGATTCTACTCCCTCTTCTGACTCCTGTGCTCATCTGTACACATGCATATTCTTACCCAGACACAGACATATAAACTAAAATAAAATGTATTTTAAAGATTTAAAAAAAATTATTCTTCATCAAAGAATTGTTTTCTTTAGTGTGTGTGTGTGTGTGTGTGTGTGTGTGTGTGTGTGTGTATTGGCACATGCTTGCTGTGTTGGGCATCTGAAGGTCAGAGGACAGGTTGCAGAGTTCTCTCTTTCCACCACGTGAGTCCCAGGGATGGAATGCACTGGCTGCCTTGGCATCAAGTGCCTCTACCAGCTGAGCCATCTCACTGTCCCAAAGAATTGAGATACGTGTCAGTGAATGTCAAATTTGTATATCATTGTATGTACCTCTGTACTTAAAGTTATATTAAGTATTCCTCAGGCAAAAAGAGGTCCCAACCAGGAACAGTTTATCAAGCCCTGGTATGCTTAAAATATATTGAGGGGGACTGGCAAGAGAGCTCATTATATAATTCCTTACAAAACATTTAAAAGGAAAGACAGTTAACTTTATGGTGGAAAAACACATTGTCTAAGTGAAATGTACAAATCAATTTTGTACATTTTCTTATATGAACCACGAGGAAGTTGCAGTATCCTTTCTGATGTTCCTACCCAAAATACATAGTTAATCCTAATCAGAAGGAAGTATCAAGTAAACCCAAACCAGACAGTCTATATAGTATAAATGACCTACACTCCTCAAAATTCATCGCCTGCAGCGTTCCATACATGTTGTTTGTATATGGCTCTGGCTTAGCTCATGAGGCTCCTCTGTCGTGATTCTTTAAGTTGGCCCTTGGCCCGTTTGCAATAGCTAATTGCCTAGTTCTCTGAACACTTTGCTATTCCATTCTTACAGTTTCTTGTTTGTTGGGTTTTGTTTTGTTTTGTTTTGCTGTTTTCCAAGACAGGGTTTCTCTGTGTAGCATTGGCTGTCCTGGACTCACTTTGTAGATCATGCTGGCCTCGAACTCACAGTGATCCCCATTCTTAAAGCTTGCTTCCTTCCTTCCTTTCTTTCTTTCTTTCTTTCTTTCTTTCTTTCTTTCTTTCTTTCTT